AAGCCCGGGAAGGGCTGGGCGAGGGCAGCCTTGCCCATGGCCGGCGAGGGGCGGCCTCGCCAGATCTGGGCGAGGCGGCCTGTGACATCCCGAATTTCGGCCCATTTTTGGGATTTATAAAACGCGTAATTTGTCAGTGTGCTTATAGTAAAATCTCGCCCGGGAACTGATCACTCCCGGTTATCATTTTAAATTAGAGATTTCGCTAGAATCGCACTCGATCAAATTTGGCCGTTATTTGGATCCCGAACTTGGCAATCGATTTCCGGGAGTTTCGGGACAAAATAAATTGGACGGTGTCGATATTGTTGTGACCAGCGTTGAGATTGTCAGGAATGATGGAAAAATGGGAGTTTTTGACCACGTGCGAATTTGGACTAGTAGACCTCCCTCGTTATGATTTGGTCTAATTAATTTGGCCTTTGTCCCTTTTTATGTGCGAGGCTTATTTTGGACCGGTAGACCACTTTCGGTTTTTAATTTGGGCCATCGAATCGCGATTAATATTTGAATGAAGTTTAATTTCTTTTATTCTCTCTCTCTCCTCTGCCGCGCATGTCCTCTCCGCGCACGTCTCCCCCTGCCCACGTCCCCTCAGCTCACCCACTCCCACCTGCTCTCTCTCTCTCTCTCTTCGTTTCTTTTCTTCTTTCTTTCTCTTCTTCTTCTTCCTTCTTCCTTCCCCGAACTCGCCTGGTTCTGCTTCGTTCCTGCTCTGCTCGCCGGCTGCTGCTCGACCACCCATCCAGCTCCGCCTGACGCCGCCCAAGCAACCGCCGACGCCGCCATCCTCCTCGCACCGTCGTCGCGCCGCCGCGCCGCGCGGCAGCTCCGCCCGACGCTGCCTTCCTCCTCTCCCGAGCGCGCGAGCTCGGCTCGCCGCCGCATCCGGCGAGTCCCAGCCGTCGTCCAGTCGTCCGGCCAGCCCCCCAGAACCGCCCCGACACCTAGACGTCGCCGCCATCGTCCCGGCCGTCGCCTTGCTGCCCCGTCACCACCGATTCGTCCCCCCCCCCTTTCTCAGCGCCGTGCGTCTTCGCCGGAGCGCCGTCGCCGTCTCTGGTGCCGCCGCCGTGAGCCGCCGTTCCTCTCACCTCAGCCGGTCAGCCCCCTCTCCCTTCCAACCCGTGAGCCCCCTTCCCCCTCTCTTCCTCTTTGTTTTGGCCGTGGAAGGCCCTTCGCCGGAGGAGCTCCGCCGCCGCCGTCACTATTCCGGCGCGGATCCGTCGCCTCGCCCGGCCGTCCAGCCGTTCCATTTCTCTCTCTATCTCTGACCGTGCCCCTCTCTCTCTCCCTCTCTAGGCCGTGGATTAGCTTAGACCGTCGCCGTCGCTCGCGCCGTTCGCCGGGAGCCGCCGCCGCCGTTACTGTTCCGGCGAGGGACCGCCGCTGTCCAGCCGCCATTACCACGTGTTCAGCTCGGTTTGAAGCTTAGGACACCCGGTGAGTTTGACCCTAAGCCCTAATTAGGACAATTTGCATTTCTAGATGGGTTTTAGGGGTTAATTAGGGTATTTTAGGGGTTAAATTGTAGAGGTTGTTAGAGGATGATATGGTGGCTGATTTCGAGGCTTAGTGTGATGATTTAATTGAGATTTAGAGGCCCGTATTGTGCTGTGAGTCGGCTGGGCATAGGCGCCTTAATTTGGGCGAAAATGTGAATTTGGCGGGTGCAAATTGAGGACCGAGTGGAGGCCGCTATGGGCTGATTTTTGTGGCCCGTTTAGTGACCGAGAATGATGATTTAATTGAGGTTTAGTGGACTATAGTGTGCTGTGATGTGGCGAGGCATAGGTGCCGTGATTTGGACGGAATTGTGGATTTAGCGGGTGAAATCGGGAGACCGAATGGTGGCTGTCTTGGTGGCTATTTTACGGGCTTAGTGCGACAATTTAGTTGAGATTTAGTGACCCGCGAGGTGCCGTGAGATGGCTGGACAGATTGGTACGGAGCGGTCCAAGTTTGGAGTAAGTTCGGACTTTAAATATGGATTTTAGTGCGCGCCTCATTTGATCTTTGTGGTGGCCGATTAGAATGATGGTTTGGGGAGTTTAATGGGACATTTTGAAGATATTTATTGGCCTAGACATTGCGGTATAGTGGCTGGTCACGACAGGATTTGATTTAGGCGAGGCGTGATCAATTTGAAGTTTAATTGTGCAATTACCGGGAATGATCGCATTGATCAATTGACTGGCTAAATGAGCCTTGTTGTGATTGATTTTAGGATGCCATGTTGCTTGTTTAGCGGGACTAAGAATGGAATAGCTTGGCGGGCCTCGAATGCGAGGGCTCTTGTTATCCCGGTTGTGTGGATCGTGCATGGATTGTGTGTCAAGTTGATGTCATGGCTGATTTGAATTGATTGTCTGATTGGGCATGTTGATTTATGAAATTGAATATGCGTGGTGCAAGTGCGCATGATTGCATCGTGATTTGAGTAAGTGGTGCGGTGCAAGTGAATGCCCATATGTGAACGTTATAGCCATGAGTTTGCATCACGAGCATTGGCACGGCATGTGCGTTTACAAGTGTGCTCGAGTGACATGTGCATTGTGATCACCTAAAATGCCCTGATGCGTTTAACGCGGGGTTCAGATGAAAATTGGTGCTTGTGAATGTGTGATCACAATAAACCCTGATGCGTTTTACACGGAGTAGTGAACCCGTCCTGAGGCGTTTAACGCGGGACGATGCCCGGATTGCCGGAAGACGGCCAACCTGATGCGTTTACGCGGGTTCGGTCCGTATATGGAGATCGGTGTTGCGCCTGATGCGTTTACGCGGGCTAGAGACACTGGGCCTGATGCGTTTACGCGGGCCAGGAAGTGCTGGATAGTGATAGACCTGATGCGTTTTACGCGGGTCGGACCTGATGCGTTTAACGCGGGTCGGAGGAGAAATTGATAAATGGCAAGTATGCTAGAGTGCAAGCGTGCGAAAATGCATTGATGGGGCGTGAGCACGCGTATGAGCACGAGCATAAGCATGACATGCGTTGTGACCAAATGATGTGTACATGTGCTGCGACTGGATCCTATGTTTTATGCTTGAATTGTAAGTGCCTAACCTGCAGGGCAAGGTGAGTGTTGGATTTGGGCCCGAGGGCCTAAGTCAATTATGATTTGCTTGGTGTGTTGATTTAGTACTCGTCAGGAGGTGCACTTTAGCCTAATTTAGGTTTAGGGAATTACTCGCTGAGATTTATTCTCACTGTTGTTGAAAACCAATTTTTTCAGACCCCCGGCCCTGAGGATGGCAGGCGTATTGAAACGTTTTGGGAGGAGCCCCGGCTAGATATAGTGTTTGATCGCCGAGCCACGTACCCGCTTTTGATTTTTGAGTGTGGGCTGTATATGAATATTGTATATGTTTCCCAATGTCAAAATAAGTGTATATTTATCCGTGCTGGTTGTTGTATGGCTATCCTTGGTCAGGTGTATTTTAATGTACGGGTGGTTTTAATTACTTCCGCATGTGCTTTAAATCTCTGTGTTGGGTGTTGGGTCGGCGACGCGTCCTGGGACGTCGCACACGAATCGACCCTTGCGAGGGATGTGGCGCGCCGAGGAGTGCGGGGCGTGACACGGCCCTCGCCGGCGACAAGCGAGGCCGCCCCTCGCCGGCGTCGGGCAAGGGTCGCCCACGCCCGACTTAGGCGAGGGCAACCCTCGCCGGCGTCGGGCGAGGGAAGCCCTCGCCTGGGCGGGCGAGGGTCGCCCTCGCCAGATCCGGTGAGGGCAGCCCTCGCCTGTCGCCGGCGAGGTCGCCTCTCCCAAATCTGGCGAGGCCGCCCCTCGCCGACCATGGGCAAGGCCGCCCTCGCCCAGCCCTTCCCGGGCTTCACCGGTGGCCGGCCAGCCATCGGCAACCGGCCGGCGAGGGGAGAAAAGAAAGGAAAGAAGAGGAAAAAAAAAAGGAAAAAAATTTATTTAAAATAAAAATACTTACTGTACAAGCTGGAAAAAAATTATTTAAAATAAAAAATGCTGACTGTACGCGCTGACTCATTCTCCAGCGAGCCACGTCGGCGTCAAAAATTAATAAAAAATGCCACGTCGGATTTCCGGCCAAATTGGCACTTAAGTGATCTTTTTTCCTCCGACTTGACACTAAAGTGATCCGAAAAAAAGTTATGGCACCAAAGTGATCGCCGTACACAAGTTATGGCACTTCTGGTGTACTTTTGCCTTTAAATTTAGTGGAGACATATCATAGGAAAATAGTCCGACTCCACACGTAAGCTAGTTGCTGCAGGGAATACATATTTTTTTCCTCTTCTTTATATGACTGAGATTGTAAAATACCACCTTTTTTAATTATTTCCTCAAAAATTGATGATTGGTAAATTTATCTTCCATTAGAAAAAAAATTTGATACTTTATTTACTAAAACTATGAGGTAAAAAATTGATCTTTTACTTTCCCACCAAAATTTAAATATTAGTTGAATTTCAAAAAAATTATTATAAATTACGTGCAAACCTACATGTTGACATTCATATATTGCAAAAAGTTTCAGTTGTTTCGAGCTTAGAAAAGTCAAAATGCATGGATCACAAGACTTAGATAAATCGACTTACTAGGAAACGGACGGTTTTGATTCTAACCCTTTCTCCTCCTAGTGAAGGGTTAAACAATTTGACAGAATCCTAATCTAAGTATGCTTACAATGTAATGTTGTTCTAACATTCTGCCAGTTCGATCATAAGAAACTACTACAATCTACCGTTATGAATGATTGCGCTTCCTGCTTACAAAGGCGGACTCTTATATGCTGTTATTTGATGGGAATCCCAACGATTATCACCCAGAGAAACAGTGGGCAATTACTTGAGGCAATTCAGAAACAAAGTGGGAAACGATTAGTTTAGCAGTCCAGTTCAACTTTCTCACTAGTGTTTGGTGAAAAACTGTCCCGGCGTGATATTCTTTAATCGGTCCATCGCCAGTGTTAAGAACAAAAGGCCCCATATAGATTGCAGAATTGTGAGACAAGCATGCACCAAGAAGAAAATTTCAAAAGGGAAAACTTCGCGGAGCAAGATGAAGGCCGAGTTCCCATCAAAAAACATGTCGCATTTGTTTTTCCTTGAGTGAGAAATTAAGGGGAGATGGAGTAAAAAAACTGCTAATACAGCTAGAAGACGAATGGTATCCAATGGTTCAATCCTCATCATCACTACTTTCATAGTTTTGACATAAAGACTAGAGTGCAATGCTCGGACTAGAGGTTGGACCAGCTTTCTTTACCACAGCAATTCGCACAGAGGAAGAATTGGACAACAATTTACTCTCGCTCCGGTCCCGTGAACCCGACATGATTTCCTGTTAAACATAACAAAAATATGAGTCAATGAACAAGGAACAAAGACATGAGTTTGTCACAACCCAGCAATATTTATTTCAGTACAGTATAGATCCTCATGTAACAACCAAGCAATACTTATTTCTAACGGAAAAGAGAAAGACCACAGACATGATGGAAAGACACGGAAATGTAACCAGAAAACTCGCAGACACAACCACCATCACATGGAAAAAGTTACTTTATAAAAGTCAAGTCTACTTCCACGAAGGGAGTCTGCATTTTAATACAGTCCAAAGCACTTGCAGGAAAAGGGAAGTGCCCAGCCTATCTATCTCAACACATCCATCATTCAGAAGAGCTAACACAATTGAAGAAAACATGTTCGAAAAACGTGACATACCTCCGTCACTCAAGATGTCACTGGAAGTAGCTTTTGTCAAGGAATCCGTTGGCTTGTCCAGAAATTCCTCAGAAAATTTCCTCTTCTGCATTTCAAATCAAACATATAAGTAAGCTTTTCTCTAGGCCTCAACAACAAAAGACAATTCCATATTAAATCAACAACTTATGCTCGCCTCAAATCCAAAACAACTATAATAATTCCTAACAAATTACACAGAGAAAAAGAAACCAACTTGGTAATATGTATTCTTAAGTAGAGGGGAAATTTAAAGAACACTAGTAATTCTTTTGAGAAGAATCAAGAAACCACATGGAAGACAATGTAAACCACAAAGCACGTCCACCTTTCCTAATTATCGAATCGAGGTACTATCAGTTTTATCGACAGTGTATATACAATCAGCAAAACCAGTAAATCAAGCTCTTTCTGAGAAGTTTAAAAGATATTTCCATCAGGAGTTGGCAAGTACTGGCAATTAACACACTTGTTTTTTGCTTGATGACAGGTGATACACGAACTATGATCTAACAACTTTAAGAACATCTCTTGGTGTATCCATGATTAGGTCCTGAAAGTTCTCAAGTTATTTTTCTAACTCCTTACTCTTCGAAGTTGCTTATTCTTAAACACAAGGACTAAACAAAGAAAAGCATGTTATACAGATCACATTGTCAATGCATATACATCTAATGCAAGTAAACCAAGAATTGTAAACTTAATCCATACTGAATGGATTGATGGTCACAAAAACAGGGCATTTGCAATAGAGTATCTTCAAACGAGCTCAAACTTTTAGATATATGCATGGATTATACATAGATTGTAGAACCATATACATCTTATAAACTGATGCACAGGCACCTTATTAAGCAAATGACCAGTTCAGCCAGAACTTATGCATAACACATTCAAGACTGCTCTAATTAAAATTCCCACACTTAAAGGTAGCTGACAAGGAAGTGAATATGCTGACAATAAGAGCATTACTGACCTTGAGTATGGAAACGTAACCAGAAAACTCACTACAGCAACCACCGTCACATGGAAAAAGTTACTTTCTAAAAGTTAAGTCTACTTCCACAAAGGGAGACTGCATTTAATACAATCCAAAGCACATGCAGGAAAAGGGAAGTGCCGAGCCTATCTATTTCCACACATCCATCATTCAGACAGACAATAATACCATAAATCCCAACCAAGGAGAGCTAACGTAATCGTAGAAAACGTGTTCAAAAAATGTGACATACCTCTGTCATTCGAGATGTCACTGGTAGTAGCTTTTGTCAAGGAACTTGTTGGCTCGTCCGGAAATTCCTCGGAAAATTTTCTCTTCTGCATTTCAAATCAAACCCGCATATAAGTAAGCTTTTCTCTAGGCCTCAACAGCAAAAGACAATTCCATGTTAAATCAACAACTAATTGTTGCAACGAATCAAAAACACTGGCAAAAATATCCTTACAAATCACATAAAGAAAAAGAAACCAACTTGGTAATGTGTATTCTTAGGTAGAGGGAGTGAGAAACTTCAAGAAAGCAAATGGAAGACGAACTAAACCACAAAGCACGTCCACCTTTCCTTATTATCGAATTGAGGTACCATCAGTTTTATCAACAGTGTATACAAAATCAGCAAACCAGTAAACCATGCTCTTTCTGAGAAGTTTGGCAAATACTTGCATTAAGAGTTGGAAATACATGCACGTACTGACAATTAACAGGCTCGTCTTTTGCATAAGATGCATATGCATTGAGGATTTGATCTAGATAGCATGCTTTGCTTTGCTTAATCCATGTCACCTTATGTGCTCATTCCATGTCATGTGTATCGTCAGACATTTGCATGCTCTTGAAGAATCAGCAACTTCAAAGAGTAAGGAGTTATGAAAAAGTACTTGAGAACTTTTAGGACCTAACCATGGATACACCAAGTAAAGCAAGACAATTGTAAACTTAATCCATACTGAATCAGGAATTGATGGTCACAAAAACAGAGCCTTTGCAATAGAGTATCTTCAAACGAGCTCAAACTTTTAGATATATCCATGGATTATACATAGATTAAAAAACCATATACATCTTATAGACTGATACACGGGTACCTTATTAAGCAAATGACCAGTTCAGCCAGAATTTATGCATAACACGTTCAAGATTGTTCTTATAAGATTCCCACGATTAAAGGTAGCTGACAAGGAAGCGAATATGCTGACAATAAGAGAATTACTGACCTTGAGAGCATTGTTCAATGAATCGTCATAACTAGCACAAGGTCGAGTCAGGTCTTCCTCATCCTCAGAATCTACGTCTTCGATCCTACGTACAAAATTTTTGGATTTCTGCAGGAAAGTTTCAGGGAAGCAACAAGTATAGATGAAATGGATGGAAGATATTTAATGAAATGTAGAGGGATGCAAAATAGATGCAAAACCAAATACAAAAGGGTGGTTTAATAATAACATGGAATACTAATGATTTAATGAGAGCTTCATCCTCTTCCTCCAATTTCTTTGTTGGTGACGGATAGGAACTGGACCACGGTATTTAGAAAATTCTCCAAGTCAGAGCTTATGGAATAAAAGGTCTAACCATCAAGTCATAAACGCAACCATGAAGGCAACCATACTTAACACAGGAAGTAGAAGCAAGAAGACCAAGAATGGTAATGTGAATGCTTGAGTAGGATGGTGCCCTATATCCTCAATGCAAGAGCTCATAAAACGACCACTGACCCCTTCATCACCATATTCGGCAAGAAGAATGCCGATTTAAATGGGAAACAACTCAAACCTTTGCAGCAGATACCTCTAGCATTGCATCTACACTGATATGATATTTTCTAAGCAACATGAAATCAATTTCATGTCCGTGGAAAAAAAATGATATTTTGCAAACTTTGGTGATAAACCAATCAGCATAGTAATGATAGTATCCGCTCAGGGACTGCACAAATCGTTACTCAAACAACAGAGAAAATAATGCAGAAAGTTCAAATAACTTACCTTCGTGGAATTCAATTCATCAGGCGCCATCCCTCTCTTGGAATCGGACGTACTGTTCTGCAAGGGGTTCATAACATCGCCCATCTCTTCAGCCTCACTACTCCTTTTCTCATTCTCCACCACCTGCCCAAACCCACAAATAGAAAAGGCACAAGTCGCGTTCAGTTCTTCCCAAAGTCCGACCGAACTCCAAGAGACCCAACAATTCAAAAAAAGAAGGCGCAATCTTGTACCTCGTCCTGCTTACGCCGGGGCTCAGAATCACGCGGTGGAGTCAGGGGCTCGAAAATTCTCGTCGCCCCGGACTCCACCACGTAATCGGGATCCTGCGGCGGATGATAAGTTTTGATGGTGAGGACAGCAGAGCACTTGGTGCATTTGAAGTAAAACCTAAACCTCTTGATCCCCCCCGCCAAGGCCGTCTGCCATGCCAAAACAAAAACAAAGAAAAGGAGGAAGAAATCAACTCCACAGATACGGAAAAAGCAACCCCCACCATGCCATGCCACCCCACCTACCTCGCCGGCGACTTCCTCCTTCCTGGAATGAAGCTTGGTCCCCTGGCGAATGTGATTCTCGCAGGTGTTGCATCGGATGCTCATCGGAAGCATGATCCGAACCTTGATCTGCCGACGAAGGAACTTCCGAACCCGCAGCCTCGAAGGGTCGAAATCCAGTGGATCCAATCTGCAGCACACCTTCCCTCCTCTCCCCATCTCCTTCCCTTCCCTTCCCTTCCTCTCCCTCTCCGTCTCCCTCAACTCCCAAAACCCAAAGACGACGAACGCGAACGCTTTGAAGATGCCACAAGAGATCGATCTCTCTCTCTCTCTCTCTGTGAGATCGCTGAGGTTTTGAAGAAGATGGACCGAAAGCAGAGTCCGAGTTATTCTCTGAGAAGAGTCGGTACGCGGGAGTAATCTCCGTATATTTCCACGTAGCATAATAAATATTACATCAGTCTACTTATGTCTGAGGTAGCATATATCAATCGGGTTAATTTCCCAGAAAAGGTACCAACTTTATCTTAAAGGACAATTCTAACCCAAATTTTTTTTTTGTCTAAATAAAAAGCACAAACTTTTACTCGAATCCTAAATCTAGCATTCCGTGATGCGAAATTTTCAAATTGTTCAGGCCAGATTTGAAATTTAAGTGAAAGTTAATGATTTTTCATGTGACAAAAAAAAGTTCGGGATAAAATTGTTACTCAAGGTAAAGTTGATATTTTGTTTTTTTCTTTTTTTATGAAATTAGGCCTATATAATAAAGATAAGCACAATTAAAAAGATATTGCGGAATCTTGAGAGATACAGAAAATCACCAGAAATATTATAATTATCTTTAATATAGGATAATATCCTAGAGAATTATCATAATTATCTCTAACAAGAAGAACGAAAGGGAATTGAATCGACTCGTAAAATATGGATATGGGCTGAGATGGGGCCTCGCAACACGACGGAGATGAGTGCGGAGATTGGCGGGGTGGACGAGATAAAGAAGAGGGAGAGACGAACGGGGTGGAAAGATAGTGTTGTTACACGACGGAAATCAATCTCTCTCTCTCAGATTGTTGAGGTTTCGAAGAAGATGGGCGAAATTGATTCAAAAAGCAGGGTCCGACGGGAACCGACCAAACGGACCCAGAAAACATGGATACAGGCTTTGCCTGTGTTTGGGCCGAGTCAATAAATAGGTTTTGGATTCAGGAAAAAAAAATTGTTTTTTTTAGACTACCGTTTCAATACATGGAAATTATTCGACCCAAAAAAAATAAATAATTGTTCAAACATAATGTACATTTTATTTTTTCGAACCAAATAAAATCAATAAACCCCCCCCCCTTCTCAAACATTAAATTCCTAACAATCCAGAGATATTAAACCAATTTTTCATCCAAAGGCTTAAATTTGTAAAATAGTTTGGCAATCGCTCCACAAAAATTTACGACTCTTTGCTCTAAGTGAAATTCATATGAAAAAGAATGGACCTCCGTCCGACCTATTGCTTGAAAGACTCCAATAGTGTGGCCGGTTGGATTGCTAAGACCCAAATTCGAAATTCCCTTCCTCACAGCTGAGTGTCCCCTACATACCATTTGGGATCTTTTGTGTTCCTAGGTCCATCTCATGTAATCACTCCATTATTACTGAATGAAATTTAAGGACTGTTTGCGGACCAAAAAAAAAACCTAAAATTTATTAAGTAAATTATTAAATGCATGCATCGGGTCATCAATTAGTAATTAACATAAATCTCATGTTCGCTTGTAATATGTTACAGTGAACCCCATGCTAGGCTCACTAACAAACCCTAAAATAAATAGGGTTAATAACATGAAAAACCTCAAACTAATATATTTGTGATAGATTTACCTCAAACTAATTTTTTGACAACCAAAAAACCCCAAAAATGGTATACCTGTGACAAATTTACCCCATGTTAGTTTCCGTTGAATTTTATTATCAAATTGCTGAGTTTAATGAACGTAACATATCATGAGTGTACTAGTTTGGGGTTTTATTCCTCCGTTTGTAACAAGTTTACCAATTTGTTATATTTCTTGGTATTAATCCAATTTTACAGAAGGCAAATTTGTCATAAGTGCACCAGTTTGGGGTAAAGGGTAAATCTGTCACAGGTATACCAGTTTGAGGTTTTTCATAGTAAAAAAGTTAGTTCAGAGTAAATATATCACATATGTACCAATTTGGGGTTTTTCGTGGTATTAACCCAAAAATATTACATCCGAAAAATTGGCACCTCCGGAATCAGTTTCAAAATAAGGTCTAAGATGGATAGAAATATACTCTTTTTTGGTCGAAATAGAAATATATTTAAAATTGGGCTTTATTATATCAAAGAAAAAAACGGGGGATATTTTTTGGCAATTTTTTGCATCCATTGATTGAAGATCGAATGTGTACAAGCTAAGGAATATGGCTGGAAGGAAAGTTGAGACCTGGTTAGCTCTTTAATGAGGGATTTAATTGAAGGGGTATCACCAATTTTTTGGGAGAGAAAGGTTTTCTTTTGTTTTTTTTTTTTAAATGAGAAAAGTTGATACACTCACATAACATGTGTCTCGCATACGGTTTGCATACCTATCAGTTTGTGCTCACAAGTTTATCGTATGTATTGTTCAAACTTAATTTAGGGACTGTTATTATATTTATTTGTCCGCTCAATTACGCTTATCATTTGCATATTCTCTTATTGCGCGGTGTGAAAATATAAATGAATGTGGTGTGAACTCAATTTTTCTTACGGTGAAACTATAAAACGCTCACCACGTAGCATCTTAAAGTACCCTTTTATGTACTTTTATCATCGAGAACTTGACATGTGTCTGATTTTTTTTTTTCATGTAATGTTGGAAAAACTTCATTAGCACTATATGATTTATAAAAAGAAGAAGCGATCTTTCCAAAAAGGACGTGTTTCGGTTAGCCTTCTACACATAAAGAAACAATTGGATTGCATCATATTACAACTTCTAGTTGGCCTTAACAAAGCTAAAAAAAATTCAATTGAGACATATCGTAGGAAATTAGTCCGACTCCATATAGATTAGCCGCGACCTTTGAAATGAATGAGAAAATATATATTTTTCCCTCTTCATTATATGTTAGAGACCGTAAAAATATAACCTTTTTAATTATTTCCTCAGAAGCTGGTCATTGGTATAATTATCTTTCATTGGGATAAGGACATTAGGAGTGCCATAACTTTTGTACGACGCTTACTTGAGTGCTATAACTTTTTTTTTTTGTTTACTTGAGTACCGCATCGGAGTAAAATAGATCATTTGAGTGCCACTTCCAGCGAAAATAGATCACTTGAGTGCCATTTCCGGCAAATGAGCTGATGTGGATTTTTTAATTAATTTTTCATCCGACGTGGATTTTTTTAATGTTATTTTATTTTATTGATTTTATTGATTTTTTCTTTTTCTTTCTTATTTTTCTTTGTATTTTTCAAGGTTGGCGAGGGTCGTCGTGACCCTTGCCGGGGGCCTCGCCCTCGGTCAAACTGGGCGAAGGCCACCTTGCCATCAGCCAGTATGGCCACGAAGGCCCTTGGCAAAGGCCATCGCGGCCTTGCCACCACGAGCAAGGCGGCGAAGGCTCTCGCCAGATCCGGCGAGGCCACCTCGCCCGTGGCCATGAAAGCCCTTAACGAGGCCATTGTGGCCTCACCGGCCGCGGGCGCGGCGGCAAAAGCTCTCACCAAATCCGGCGAGGCCGCCTTGCCCGCGGCGGTGAAGGCTCTCGCCAGATCCGGCGAGGGCTGCCTTGCCCTTGGCCGCGAAGGCCCTTGGCCAGGCCGTCGCGGCATCGCCGGCGCGAGCGAGGTGGCGAAGGCTCTCACCCGCGGTGGTGACGGCTCTTGCAAGATCTGGCGAGACCACCTCGGCCACAACTGGTGAGATCGCCTCACCCATAGCCGGCGAGACGGCCTTCGCGGCCTCGCCCGCTGCCGGCGAGACGGCCTTCGCGGCCTCGCCAAGAGCCTTCGCGGCCAAGGGCAAGGCGGCCCCCGCCCAATCTGGGTGAGGCCTTCACAGCCGGCGAGGGTCGCCGGTGACCCTCGCTAGCATTAAAAAAAATTTTGCAAAAATAAAAAAAACTAATAATAAAAAAAATTCAAAAATTCAAAAAAAAAATTTAAATATTGTCCATGTTAGCTCCGGCGAAGCCACGTCGGATTTTTCAGCTGTCAAGTGGCATTTGGCGCTCAAGTGATCACTTTTTTCAAATTTTTGGCACTCAAGTGAGCGAAAAAAAAAGTTATAGCACTCAAGTGAGCGTCGTACGAAAGTTATGACACTCCTAGTGTCCTTATCCCTCTTCCATTAGAGTAACGATACGATACTTTATTTACCAAAACTATGAGGTAAAAAATTGACCTATTACTTTCCCGCCAAGATTTAAATATCATTTGAATTTCAAAAAGATTATTAAAATCATGTCCAAGCCTAAGTGCCGACATCCATATATCGCAAAAAGAAATTCCAGTTGTTTAGAGCTTGGAAAATTCAAAATGCACGTGCTGTACGACTTAGATAAATCGATTTAATGTGGAAAACGGATGGGGGGATTTTGATATTAACCCTTTTCTCGTCCTAGTGAAGGGGCAAAACAAATATAATAAATACATGAAATGTATGTAAAAATATTCAGAGGAGGAGGAAAAAACAAAATAAGGGGATCCGCAAATTGTACGATGAAAATCGCCAAAAGAGAAAGGGGAGGGGGATTTGGCGGGAAAAGGGGCCGTTGTCCAAACCAGGGAAAGACCTCGTCCCAAGTTTCCTATACTATGCTCTGTTCCGGTTGCGTCTCCCTCACCGTGTCCCAATTCTCTCTCCCCTGTTTCTCTGTCTCTGTCTCTCTGGGTGTCTCCGTCTCTGAGCAGATCCTGTTGCTCTGAACTCGCTCTCTCTCTCTCGCTTTCGCCGCGATCGCTTCTTCTCTCTCCGGCTCGTAGCGATCCTCGCCGCTCTCGATTCGGAGGGTTTCTCTCTTTCTCGATCTGACTCTAGTTAATCTTCCCGTTGTCCAACCATGAAGATGATCGTGGTGAAGCTTGCCTGCGGCGTTCGAGTTGTCGAGGGTAAGACTGTCAGCCGTTCGGTACCTCCCACCTCCGTCTTTCTTTCTCTCTTTTTTTTTTTGGGGTTAATTTCTTTGTCCTGTGCGGGTTTTGTGTTCGGAATTTGTTGTTGAATCTGTTTTCTTACAGGTCTCTGCAAGAAAGGCCGTAAATTGAAGCAGATTCGCAAGTTCTTCAGGGGCATGATCATGCCCTTTCTGTGCCCTAAATCGTTCATCAGAGGGTATGTCCTTTTTCGGCACTGCTCTGTTTTTTTTTTTTTTTTACCCTGTTCTTTCTTGCATCGTTATTTCAAATTCTTCTTTAATTTCAATTTTCTGAAGGGTGTTGAAATCATGCTTGCTCTGTTTTGTTCTGTCGATTTTTCTGACCAGTGTCCAACCGCTCAATGCCAAGATTTATCCGAACGAATTTCTCGAAACCGACAGAGAAGAGAAAAATCCAGCCATTGTAGTAAGTATATCGCCAACAAGATCCATCTCACCTCGTGTTGCTCTGACGGCGCATCTTAGGGTTTATTGGATTGGACATAAAATTTCAGAGCTTCAAATAACAATGTGTGAAGTTCGTCATTTATGACTGCAGGTTGAAGGTAGTAGAACAGAGGATTCATCTTCGGAGTCGATCCGGGATATCGACCCATATGACGCTTATCCTTCTCAAAGCGATGAAGATGATGACGCTAATTCGCGAGCCGATGTTCCCGTGGAAGCCTATGAGTACGTTGATGATATATGCGCCTTCTACAAATCGGAAGAGGAAGAGGTGAACTATCTATAGGCTGATTTATGTTCTAATTCTATCAGTTTAAACTGAAATTGTGCCGAGTCACTGAATTGGGTATTTTACTCCGTGCAGGATTCTCTGTGCATAAAACCCAATTACATTGCCAGACTGAAGGTCGACTTCGAAAACCAGTTGAGAGCTTGTATTGTCGAGTGGTTGATTGAGGTACTAAGGAGCTCCTTTTTTATTTCTTGGATTGGAAGTTTTGATTCATATTACTATACAACATCATTCAAACAAGGACTAGAATAACGTTTTGAAATCAAGAGGATTTTCATGACAGTTCTGCTATGAATTGTTGCAATATCTGCAATGAATTTCAGTCACATAATTGTTAATGTTTGCACTACAATGATGGATGAAATTTTGCAATTTTATATTCAATGCAACTTGACCTATTTTCCCCCAAATTGGGAATCTAGTTGACAGCTGTGAAAAACTGGTAATTTTACTTTCTCACTGAATAATTAGGCACACATGGTGTTCGAGTTCCCAACCGAGGCTCTATATCTTGCCATCAATCTTTTTGACCGATTTTTGGCTCTTCATCTGGTGGAAAAGAAGAAAGTGAGTTTGGTTGGAGTAACTGCCTTGCAATTGGCCGTTAAGTATGCTGGAATAAGAGGATCGATCCCTTGTGTCGATTTGTTTTCCGACATGGCGCTTACTTCGAGCCCTGTCGAGGAGATTTCGTGCTCCGTAGAGGAGATTCTAGAAATGGTAGGCTTTAGAGAAGGGAAATACCCATTCCTTATTTTGCTTCTGTTTCTCCATTAACTTTTCTTTTTTACATAATTCTCTGTCCTTTGCATTATGCAGGAGGACTTGATTTTGAACACCTTAGAGTATAACTTGTCAAGTCCGACTCCATCGAAGTTTATGTGGAAGTTTCTCAAGGAAACTCAATCTGATGATAAGGTACTTGCATCTGTTAATGTTATTTGATGTTGTTATGAATTGATCTTGTTACATTAGTATAGAAAATGATGTGGGTTTCTGTTTCTATCTCCAACCAGATCAAGCACTTGTCCTTTTTCTTGATCGATCTCTGCCTAGTTCAGCATGAAATGCTCATATTTCGCCCTTCAGTATTGGCCGCCGCTGCAATTTACACTGCCCATGCCACTGTTAAAGGGTGTAAGCCGTGCAGTGAAATCTATGAGCGGTTAACTGGTTGTAGTGCCCAACAAATCTTGTAAGTAGTAAGAGACTTCGATTTATTGTTTATTACATCTTTCATCTCTTTGTTCATATCCTTCAGGAACTTAGGAATCTGATTGATTATTTCCTTTTGACTACTTTTCCTTTGCACAGAGAATGCTCAAGACTGATGGTGACTTTCCATCAAAAAGCGAGGAGTGTCACGAGTGTGTATAACAAGTACCACGCGAGGAGATATGACTGCGTAGCTAAGGCTGAACCAGCTCGTTTTCTCTTGAAGACCAAGTTAAGCGTGGCCTGGGTCGTCCAGCTTACCTTTTTTGTTCAAATTTTCTGTCTCCCATTTTGTTTTGGTGTCTTATGAGGTATTTGTGTTAAGCCATTCTTTGATTTTAGAGAGACTCTAGGAGTTGCCGAGTCTTTGTATTCACTGATGATTTCGAGCATATCAGCTCATTCAAAGCCCTTGAATGGAAAGTTGCTGATTCTCGTTTGTAAAAATCTATACTTTGCTAGTGTTGTTTTCATGTGAACAAGTTATGAATCTATGAAGGTGTACATGGTTATGTCTAATTTCGTCTACTGCTCGCATGCAGATGAGCTCTTCCAATGTGTTATTCATATACTTAACGCTAATGATGATACCTAAAGGTATAAGGCCGATGTCATGATGGGTGTCCTGTTATCTACTGCTGTGCCACAAGTTATATAAAGTGAAATTCGTAGACAAGTCTGTCAAAATGTGTAAAATAAAACTGCACTTCTTATTGCAGACATGCACCGAACGAATTTCAAATTTCTTTTAACGAGGTTGTATGACACCCTCAAAAAGATGTCGCCAAATACCTTTTACAATCACAGCCACAATACTGCGGTAACAACTTATCACACTGTTGAACGAGCTAAGATATCTGAACTTCCTACCCTAAAACTTGTGGTTCACAGCATATTGTTGCTGCTCAGAATTTCCATAAACCAATATAAAAGATAGGGGGAAATGTAGAAAGGTCTAATAACGGTCATTGAGCATCTTTTGACCAGAATAGGTAAAGCTTAGTAGTCAATTACTCATCCAGCTGAGGAAAATACAGGCCAAATGCTTCTGACATGTATGTAATCCTCTGCTCATACTCACAGCAAGGACTAATTAATCTATTGTGCACTCACAGGAAACCACACAAATGCACATGTCTAGCAAATCATTTTCATAGTTAATCTTGTCCACATATTTGCTAGCAAGAAACAATTTAATGCCGGAAACAATTAGTTCCTAGAGTTACAAATGACACTACTTGCACGAGAACAGTTGACCGACCCAAGCGCCCTGAACAATGCTAACCCCATTGATGAGCCTACTCAAACCCGATCCCAATGAGTAGATGACTAAAAAACTTCAACTTCCCATCGTTTTTATTCCCATATTTCATGGCTGGGGCAAAATCCTATTCGAAAAAATTGATGCAGAATTTGTCTGCCAAGGGACTTCTGCAATGCTCAGGATTTGCTTGATTACTTATGTCAATCTTTCAGATAATAAACTGCAGTCATTTCCAATTTCATCATTGAATTGGGAAGTCACATTGTCAGCAGTCATAAGTTACTGCCAATGAAGCTAACATGAGAAACAACTTCCTGACCGACCACATCCCTTCTTATCTTTCCTGTAGTAGTGGTCGTGAAAGGCTTCTTCCAAGGAATGAAAATTTTTGGTATCTTAAACCTGCGAAGAAAGTAATGATATCTTATTTTGGTTGAGAAGAACGATAATGATGGATAAAACATCAAACAATCAACATTTGGCTGGAAGTTCACGTGGCTGTGTGCATGTATTTGTGTGTTTGAGTGAGAGCTTTTAGGATAAAAGTAGCTGGCAATTTGAAAGAGCAATACCCTGTCAAGTCCTGTCTCTGCAGTACAGTCGAAGAACATTATCAGACAACAAACGTTCTACTTTTCTGCTCCAAGTTCGTGGCTTTTATCAGACCAAAGCCAGTTCTCTTTCACACATGCACCCAACAACTATCTCAGTCAGGCGAGCTTCAGGGATTCCCACGACAACGATTCCAGTGACTCCTGGATGTTGTAAAAGTATTGCCTCCGCGTATATTATGAAACAAGAATATTTCCCAACAAAAAGAACTGAGGGTACATCTTTTTAGTTAGCTAACCATGATTTTGAGAAACAAAATAGGCAAAATGCCACTGACATGTAATCCTCTACTCATGCTCACTGCAAGTACTAAATAGTCTGTTGTGCACTCATAGAAAAATGCACTAACGCACATGTCTAGCAAATCATTTTCAGAGATAATCTTGTCTGCATATTTGCTAGCAAGAAGCAATTTGATGCCAGAAACAATTAGTTCCTAGAGTCAACAATGACACTACCGGCATGGGGAAAGTTGACTGACACAAGCATCTTGAACTCTGCTAACTCCAGTGATGAGCCTCCTCAAACCTGATCCCAATGAGTCGATGACTAGAAAACCTCAATTTCCCACCGTCTTTCTTCCAAATTTCACAGCTGATGCATAATCCTATTCCAAAAAATTGACGCAGAATTTGTCTGCGAGGGAGTTTTGCAAGGCTCGGGATTTGCTTAATTACTTGCGTCAATCTTTTGGATATTTCAAGCATGATAAGAGCCAGACAGCAGTCATTTCATATTTCATCATTCGATTGGGAAGTCACAATGCAGCAGTCATAAATTGCTTCGGATGGACTGAACATGAGAAACAACTTCCTGGCAAACTACATCCCTTCGAATCTTTCCGGTAGTAGTGGTAGCGAAAGGCTTCTTCCAAGGAATGAAAATTTTTGGTATCTTAAACCTGCAAATAAAATAATGATGTGTTATTTTAGTTGAGAAGATCGATAATGATGGATACAACATTAAACAATCAACATATGCCTAGAAGTTCACGTGGCTGTGTGAATAGGTTGTGTGTTTGAGAGAGAGTTTTTAGGATCAAAGTAGCTGGAGATTTGAAAGAGCAATACCCTGTCAAGTTCCTGTCTCTGCAGTACTGTCGAAGAATTTCATCAGACAACAAACGTTCCTTTTCAGCTCCAAGTTCACGGCCTTTATCAGACCAAAGCCACTTCTCTTTCACACGAATACACCCAACAACCATCTCAGTCAGGCGAGCTTCAGGAATTCCCACGATGACGATTCCAGCGACTCCTGGATGTTGGAACAGTATTGCCTCTACCTATGTTGTGAAACAAGAACATGTCCCAAGAAAATGAGCTGAGAGTACATCTTTTCATGTTAGCTAACCATGATTTTGAGAAAATAAAACAGGTTCATCATTGAAAACATAGAAAAATATGTATCACATTCAAACCTATCAACAAATCTATGCTTGGTCAAAGAGAAATAATTTCATTTCTAAGCCAATTCATACACGATAAATTCTATTACCTCTTCAGGGTAAACATTTTCTCCCCCAGTCTTGATCCGACCACTTTCTCGACCAATGAGCCACACCTGACCATGCTCATCGATGAAACCAACATCACCCGTGTCAAACCATGAATGACTGTTAGAGACTGATGACCGAACTTGATCCCAGTATCCAATCATCAAATGTGGACCTCTGGTTAGAATTTTCCCAATGCCAATTGAATCATCACCATCTGTCCTCAATTCAACATGTGAAGCAGGTTTGCCGACACAAATGCCTCTTGGTCTTTGAACTGAAATGAGATCTGTTCCGACATGAAAATGAAGGGGCTGGTAGGAAAGTGGGTTATAGAGAGTCGTGAACGTTAGTGAAGAACAAGTCTCTGTCATTCCTGCATATTGGAAAAACAAAGGAGAAAAGATAGTATGATGAGCAGAGTAGTTCAATGCACATTGCTAGCAGGTTCTACTCCAACTAGCATTGAAGAAGTGAAATTAACAGCATATATGCTTTAGATGATGCACACCATAGGCCGAGAGAATCTTAGCTCTTGGGAAGAAGTTGCCAGCTTCTTTGATGAGATCGATCGACAAACTTCCTCCGCCATTTAATATCTTTTTCACGCAGTCTTTTCCTTTCCACGGTCCTTTGTCCCTGAGGAAACTAGTAGTTAAGCAAAAGTACCACTAGAAGAGCATAACTTTGAACTTAGACCATGAAAGTGGCCGATGCTCTGTACACATAATATTTAGTATTTACATTGCCCGTTAAAGATCACTCTTTGTAGATAACCTGAGAAAGGATATTAGATCAGCGACCATGGCCGGAACTGTGATCAAAGCGGTTACGTCCTGTTTCTCTATAACCTCAATGGCTAATTTAGCTTCGAACTTTGGTATTAAGACATGACAAGCTCCTGCCATTAACATTGCCATGGCTGATGAGAGACCACCAATGTGGCACAAAGGAGCAGTATGCAAATAAACCTGCAAAAATTGAATAAAAAGAAATTTACTTGTTGTATTACTCTACGCTAATTGCCTGCGAAAAAAAACTTCCAAATATGGAAACAATCACTTGAGACTTATTTTGACATAGATTATAGAATTTCCGATTGCCAACCAAGCATGAAGACAATAAAAGAGAAGAAACTTGGAAAGGGCATACATCATTCTCACTGTAACCACATATGGTTATTTTTGCCATTGATTGTATGAACAAAGCTGAATGGCTTATGGCAACTCCTTTTGGCTTCCCAGTAGTCCCTGAAGCCAATAAGCTCAGTAAAACTAAACATCTAGAATGAAAACTCGGTAAGTGCCAAGCATAACTACGAACTTCCAATGCCAAATTTTTCCAAACTTAGGAATCAAAGTGGCATATAATTGACATACTGACCCCACCTGTGAAAATCACGGAGAGGAAAGTAAATCTATAGACAGAACCTATGCCCAAAGAAATCTATTCAGTATGGGAATGCAAGACAACCTTTGAACCTAGAAAGCAATATCACACAATGTAATCCTCAAATATGAGAACCCTTAAAAAAATTGCCAAGAAAGATGGACAAAGAAGCTTCTTCTAGGGAGTCTTGTTCAGAAGTAAGGTCAATAAAGTATCTTAAGCAACAGGTGATCAACCCAAAAGAAAGCCGTATATATTTGCAATATGTAACATGGTTTACTCTATGGCAAATCTGATATGATTGAAACATTTTGAGCGGGTAATCAAACCAAAAAAGAGCAATTTAGTATCATTTTGTATGACTGAGACTTTGAAATAAGTAATAAGATGGACAAAAGCGCCATTTTATATTTCTGTGGGTGGGTGTGTGCTTGCACCTTCACATATCTCTAAAAAGGATCTATCACTTAGTTAAAGAGTTAAAAACATATCTTTCACACAAAATCACCCATTGAGGACTACAAAAAACACTTGCTATTGGCAATAAGAGGAAGTAAAGACTATACCAGAGGTAAAGCATATTATAACGGCACCATCCCGAGCCCAGATGTAGTCAGTAGTCGAAAAGGAACTTGGAGGACTTATTGGATGCAGATCCAGCATGCTTATAGTAGATACTAGCACATGAAAAGAAAGGCCGGTTCAATGATACTAAGAATATCATCATTTTGTTCGTTGAATGATGGGTAGCAATAACTTTTTTTCATCCACCAACTACTTCGGACTTCAAGAAAGCAACTCACCATTCACATTGCTTGAAAATGGCGAAGAAAGGGAGCCCAAGGAAACATGCCATTTTAGAGAAGGTATACCATCCCTGTGGAGCTCAGAATACCAACTGATACAACTCTCATCTGTCACCAACATCACAGGGCTTACGGCTAACATGGCCGATCTAGCTTCGTTAGCACTCTACAATCAAGATTTTAGAATGAATTAACACCGTCAAATAGATGTACATATCATAAAACAACCACTGTCATGCCTGTAGCGTTTGCCTTACTTCCTCAATTTTCTGGCTGACTGAAGAGAGAACTAAGTCACTGAGATCTGCCAATTTCGGCAAATAAGCTACTGAGATTGGCTAATTTCTCCTCCAGCCTAATGAGATGCACAGACTTGATCATTTTTTCTATTTTTCCACTTCCGCATAGTCATGACCCTCGGTTACACTCACATGCACAACTTGCAACAATTTTAGTATGTCTTGCTTTTTGGTTCCAATGCACAACATTGCATTCATGCGCTGGTCAAATTAAATTTTCACTTGAGCATTCAAAAGGTAAAACGTATAAAAATTGGCTATTCATCATACTAAAATTGTCATGAAGTCAGCTCATGATGGGATTATGTCTCGTCATGGGGAGCCCTGCTTATGTACCCAAAATTTGACAAGTTAATTTCCAATGTCGACCATGAATTTTCGTTCTATCCAATTTATGCATTCGAATGTACAATTGTCAATACAGAGAGGATGGAAACCCTTGATTCATTAGTTCTGCAAAACTTCACTCACCCATCTGTAGTTTAGAGGAGCGATGATCCCTCCAACGAATGCAACAGCAAGTAACCACTCCAGGTAGCAGTCACTAACATGAGAAAACCATAAATTTTGAGAAAAAAATGGGAAAGAACAAATCATAGCTCGCACTAGTAAGCGAAGAAATGGACAATCAATTCATCATAAACAAGAAGGAAAGCTGATGATGGGTTCTGCAACATCGATTCTAGTCATCTCACAACTCATCTCACCAGCTCTCTATCCCACTTTTTACTTTAACCCAACTACATTGATTCATCAAAGAATAATGCCTGTCCCTCATCACACATTGTACTTGATGACTCTTTCCTGGGACTCAGTAACGCGAAACGACAGGACACTGGCATCCTTTACTAGCAAGATTCTCTCAATACACATAACTCAGAGGACAAGACAATCTGCTGGACATTTGCACCTCCTACCAATGAATGCTGAGCAAAAAAGAATTACAATATCTATACAAGTCAAGAAAACAAAGGACCTGTTATATGCAGAGATTGCGACGACGTCACCGGGCTTCAGGCCGAGCCGAAGCAGAGCACGGGCGAGCCCCGAAACGGCTCCAACGAACTGGGGTCCGGTCATCTGGCGGCCGCCGGCGACGGTGACCGGGGAGCTCCGCCTCGCGGTGGCTATGCGGCTCAAGCACTGGCATACGTGCGGCCCCGAGAGATGGCGACCCATTTCTTGGCGCGCTCGAAGTTCGGTTGCGGCGGTGTCCGAAGAAATATGGACTGGCGTTGCTCGTGGAACCAAAAGCTTATGACAAAGTCAACGCAAAGACAAAAACTCTTATCTCCAAAATCGTTATCACATGATCTGCTTTGTAAGGTTGGTTTTTTTTTGTTTTTCTGTAGTAACTTGCTCAAGTTAAGGAAAAGTCATGGACACAAAAGCGATTAAACTTAAATGTGATTAAAAAAAATTTACGATGAGTAAGGAAAATTATTGACTCGGGTTACAACTTTTTTACGAAATATAAAGGAAAGTTATGATTAATATAATAATGACGCAAAAAAAAATGGGTTGATATCACGAAAAATCCTAAATTGATACATTTGCGATAAATTTACCACGAAAAATCCCGAACTGGTACATCTGTGACAATTTTATCCTCTGTTAGTTTTCGTTAAAAAATTTTACCATCAAATTTCTGAGTTTGATGACACGTGGCAGTTGACGGTTATACCAGTTTGAGATTTTACCCTCCGTCTGTCACAAGCGTACCATTTTGTGATTTTTCGTAATATTAATCCAATTTAACAGAAGGTAAATTTGTCACAAATGTACCGGTTTGAGGCTTTTTGGGGTAAAAAAATTAGTTTATGGTAAATCTGTCACAGGTGTACTAGTTTGGGATTTTTGATAGTCAAAAAATTAGTTTGGAGTAAATTTGTCACAGATGTACTAGTTTAGACTCTTTCGAGGTATTAATCCAAAAAAAATATACTATCAACTTTAGATCAATTGCCATTTTTTTTAGAATATCACGACCAATGAACTTACAATGACCAATGGGCAATTACACCTTCAAAAGAAAAGTTACGGAAGGATATTTTACGGGTAAATTACTAGTGAGGACAATTACGTATGCCAAGGGAAAGTTATGATCTAATGGGTAATTATTTACTAACAATAGGAAAAGAAACTTACTATCAAGTTCGGCAGTTACTATTTCTTTTGTGAAACATTACAGATCATAGGATTTATAGAATTCTTTTTTTTTTTTGGTCGTTAATTTATAGAATTCACTTGTAGGTAAATATTATCTTGTCATGTTGGTTATGGCATCGAAAGTGGGATCATCTCTCCCTGTCATGGTGTCCAATGCCATTTGAAAGAGTTCGATGATCACTCACCTGAAAATGAGAATGAACTGTTCAATCTGCGCCATTCATATCTAAGAACTACTGTCGAAAAGTTTAGAGTGTTAAACAAGCGTCTTCCAATATTGGATTCTGAACCTTTTAGATCATTTGTAACACAAGTTGATGTTGTCCTAACTTCTTGTATCATTCACAATTCTATTGTGGGATTTGATCCCAGCGGCTCTATCACGGAGGAGATGAATAGACAAATATACTCACAGAGAAAATCCTAAGAGTCCAACTTAACATATTACATTTTCGCGACAGAGGTGAATTGGTCATGGGGATGTCGAACTGAGTCGGGCTCACCGAGCTCTACACCTCTCGCGATCGGCGCAAGGCAATCCGAGTCGTCGACTTGCCTCTAGCTCGATGGTGCACAATCCAAGACATTTGGGAGAAAACTCGATCTTCGATTTGCCTTTGAGCAAGAAGATGAAGCAATTGAGGAACGAAAAGTACGACGCTATAGTCCACTGTTCGACCGAGTGTTCGAATCTAGAAATCAAATTCGCAAAGAGAGAGAGGGGGACCTTGGGCAAGAGAACAAAACTGATTTCCACTTCTTCATCTTCGTTTGTCACGATTCATAAGGTAATTTCGCCCAAAATTAAAGGAATTAAGGTTTTCTACAATTTGGAAATGGGTCTTGGGTTTAAAAGGGGAAGTTCTGAGAGGATAAGAGGAGCGCTTGAGGCCAAGTGCTTCTAATGAGGATGCGTGGTATTCGACAGAGAGAGTTTTCGTGGCTCACGTTAGGGTGCTATATCGGATATTCTGGCGAGAAAAATTCAAATGGCACTCAAGTGAACAATTTTTCATAAATGTGGCAGTCAAGTGAGCGGAAAAATACAAGTTATGGCACTTAAGTGTGCGCCGTACGAAAATTATGGCATTTGCAGTGTTCTTACTCCTGATAAATGAGAAATTTGACATCATTGTGAGCCCGACCTTGTTGAGAATCATTTGAAGACTATCAAAAGCAATTAGACGACCATTCAAATTGTACGAGATAAGAGTGAATACAATTGGGATGACAATTTGAAGATGATCATAGCCAGAGCTTGATCAAATACGTAAGTTTAATTTTTTTTCCAATCACTTTTCATGGGGATCGTCATCCTTTTTTCCAAAATCTGCTGTTGGAAGTCCTCTTTCATGTCCTGGATGGATATTGGCCTACATATATTCTTGCATATAACGGGTATTAATAAACTCTATAGGCTCATAACTTTAGTTGGAGGAAGACAATTTTTCTTTTTATGATTCGTTCTCTGTTTCGAATGGGCACCGTTAATTTGATCAATTTGTACTCCTAATGAGTCTTCTATTTCTATTTTTTCTTCCCTTTTAGGTGATGGTTGGACTTGTTGCTCTCATACATGTCTTGATTTTGTTATTGATCACACTTTTTGTACCTGTGTATCAGAAAATATTTTAGCAGAGATTATTGTGTGCTAGTGCCAGAAATGCCAAATTTTTCATGAAACAAACAGAGCATAAATATACATGCTGGCAGGGGCTCAGAAACAAAAATCAAGATCAAAGTTCCAAGTCTAAGACATCACAAAAGCAGTTCATTTCGGATAGGCGTGATGACTACAACATGGTATGAGATGCCACTAGCCTTAAAGTGTGCGTTGCGGTTATCATACGATCGTATTGTTACAAAGAACCGGAGAGATTTACAGTCTACACATTGGCGTACAGCGGAAGTGAAACTCGATACTCTGGAAAGCGCATGCCGATGATCACATGACACCACCTTAGACTTTCTTTTCCAGAAGTTCATCCAATAAAATAAATGATGATCGAGCAGGAAAACTATTGAAGACAAACTTACCAACTTGGAGTGCCCATGTTGTTGAGGAAGGGGTGAAGTGATTCCGAATTCCAGGCTGGATTCGTGTTTGCTCAAACAGCCTCACAACGGTAAGTTATTCCTGACTGGGTGCCTGTTTAAATTCATGCAATCAGTTTGGCAAGAGACTACACAGGGTCGTCGATCCTAATTGCACAACGAAATAACTTAGCCAATATGAATGAAACACCATAGGTATAGTACACACAGCAGTGACAACACAGTACAAAGGCACATGGTACTGCTACATCAGCCAAACAACAGAATATTTAAACCATCTTGGGCAGTATTGAACATGCAAAGAGTAATATTGCAAGAGGTGCACAAAAGTCTCAAGAAAATTCAAGTTCAAGGACTCCACGCTCAGTTTTTCTTTTTTTTTACTTGACTAAGATTTATATGAAACAATAAAACTTGTAAGAAAACTAGACCTTGGCACAAGCCCACCTGAATCATCTTTACATAATTAACCTGTCAAGAGATTGCACCGAAATAACCCATATCTACGGAATTTTCTGAAAAATCATTCAAAACATACTACATTAATCTAAATCTAAAATAGACATAACAGCATTAAATACCAAATCTACAGACACTTCAAACTCGACAAAGTCCAGGACTCCCAGCTTTCCAAATATAGTAGGAAGAAGCACTCCAAGGAAGCTTGACATACAAAACAGTATAAAGCTATCGCTTTCACATATTTAGAAGACTCGCCAAACTCTTCAAACCATATAACAGCAGATCTGGACATGCAGCATAGCACAAGAATTCGAGTCCAAACAGCTTTTGAGAAGTTACAAGCAAACATCAGATAATCACTAGTTTCTGGTTATACTTCACAAAGACAGAATTTCAAAAAGCTCTGCTACGCCATGAAAGTATTTCGTCACTTGTAAGCAACCCATAATGCCCACAAAGCCAGGAAATAAGAGTACATTTGGTCTGTTCAACCATAACCATATTAGCTAGTGCCAATGAAATTGTGGAGCTCTATTTCGTAGTTTATCTTAAGCACTTCCAACAGAAAACTAGTCATCAGCAGAAGCAAGCCATACAGCTTATCCTCAATCAAGCAATGCAGATTAGAAATTTCACATAAAGATGCTTGAATACTGACTAGCTTATTAGATCTGGCTTGTGGGAAAAATCAGTCACCAACCCTTATGGCATGATATACTTTTGCTTGGAGTGGAATGGCAACAGCATAGACCATTCTGCTAAATCTTCCAGGAAAGGAAAATCCATTATCAGGTTAGGGAAAAATAAATCACAGTTTTGAGTGGAGAATTTGATAGCAAAACAGGTGTGATGCAAAAGGCACTTGTAGATTGTTCCGTATATTCTCCCAGCCTTAGACTCTTAGAGAAGGAACATGTCACCAAATAATCTATGCCCAGGTGATGAGGAGCAAACTTCTCTTTGGCATGACGCTCAATTTTTGTCTCTGCCTCATTCCTTCTTACGGATTCTCTCTCAGCACATCCCTCAAATTTTCAAGTTCATTCTCTCTCTCTCTCTCTCTCTCTCTCTCTCTCTCTCTCTCTCTCTTGCTGCTTTGTAGCTTCTCTTTTCATCTTGCTCACGTTTTGGCCCTCTCCTCCCAAATATTACCTCTCTTAAGTCTCCTCTTTTCCAATCTCTACCTCTTGAGATACCTACAATGATTAAAGCCATAAACGCATGCAATCAAAAGTTCAAAGAAGCTCCATCACGTCTTTAAAGTTCAAGCCCTAGGTAATGAACTTGGCGTACCTCACATTCAGACTATGATTCACATAACAGAAGTTCAAAAATTGGTGAATATACTATAAAAAGTATATAACTATACTTTTCATGAATCAATATGATATCTCTTTTCCTCAGGAAAAATTAATATGGTGACTGAAAAACCAGAGAAAACAATACGACCAGGTAAGGACATACTTCTTACTATTGAAGCGCTGTGGACCCTTTTCAATCGAAAGTAAAATCTTGTGATGGTTTGTTTTGGGACAAATAGAGACAAACAACAAGACAAAGATGAGGTATAAGAATAAAATAACACAGGAATTAGAATCCAGCAGCTTCAAAGGTTTGACATTTTTAGAGTCAACAAATGAAACTGAAAATGGAAAAGAATGTAAAGTCCACCATCAGTCTTGCATGAATGATATTAAATATGAGATTCTTTTGTCTTCTTGTTAATTTAGGGGGACTGGAATACAGGTAAAGGTAAAAAACTTTACCAACTTGAAAACTTGAGGGCATTTTTGCCTATTAGTTATCAAGGGAGTGTACAGAAAAAGAGGTATGGTACTAGCACAAGCCCTAGTGTCTATGAACCCATGTAAACAATCTCAGGCGTGAGCTGATGCATCCTTAACTAACAAGCTAACTTATCCTCCATGTTCACTAGAATCAGACGAACAGCTGATAGAGCTTGTGGCACTCTTTTCAATCTTTAGTGCTTCCAATAGAGTACATGCCTGATTGATGGGCTGATAGATGCCAATTTACCTTTTAAGTTAGCAAATATTGTACAAAAGCTCGGAATGCTTGTCGAGATTGCTGATGACAGAGCACCGTTTTCCTGAAATCAGCAGCATGAATGTTTGTGAATCACGTAAAAATACCAAGGGGAAAACAATTTGTCCATTCTATGATGACATATCCCTTAATAGTTTTTTGAATAAACAAGACAACAAATGTATATCTGTATCAAGGTAAAAACGAAAGTGAAATTCTGAGTAAACAGAATGATTTGCAACAGATACACCAAAAGCAGATATGTCTTTTCAGGAAGGAGTGGGGGAGAATAGAACCAATCACATCATAGATGCTAAATTCACTTTGATAAGAGTTGGAACTAGTTTTCACTTATCTCCTCAAACAATGCAAGTTTATCAAACAATCCTCCCCACAAGGTTTTCTATAACTAAAAAAAGGAAAAGATAGGGAGGTATGCACCTAGGCATCCTTGTTCCGTGTACCAACGGCTCCACAAGTAATTTTTTAACATAATAACTACAAGCAGCAGCGACTATTGAATTAACAACTCAAGGGGAGGCAGCACATCTAAAACTGATAATGAGAAATCCTTGCTTGAGGTAGACAATCACAACAAAAAGAAAGAATTGCGTCTGGACCATACCAACATGTTTGTGCAGTAGAGATACCATGAAAAAATTCAAAGAGTAGAAGCTCCAATGACTAATTTTCTGATGCATCTTTGCCAATGCACTCAATCATCTGATTCAAGCATTACTACATAAGCTAGCACCTTTTGCATTTGGTGCCAAGGACTTACCTATTCATGTATGAATTTGAAACCTCTGAACTATTCAGAGCTCTTCAAGAAACACTTCATAGAAAAGTGCTACTTTCAAGGATTCTTCAAGCTCAATGAATGACCTACATGAAAGAGGTGATATTATATACATCGTCACTGCCAAAGTCAAAAAGTGCTATGCATTGGCTGCATCTGCTTAATGGCATGAAACAATACAATGGAAGTGAGAAAAAGTATATGTACCAATAAAAAGCCTTCACATAATTAGCCCTCAGTATCTACATGATGAATTTTATATAGCCCTCATGATCAGAATTCCAAAATTTGTCCAAATTTTAGGAATTGCTTACGAATCAATCTGCAAAACATGGATTACCGCAAGTTAGTCAAGCATGGACAACAGGGCTTAAAGCCGTGATCAAAAGTATGAAGATAAAATTCATTAAAAGGACAAGAAGTTATCAAATTCAAGAAACATAGAATTAAAGCCAATAGTTTGTTAATTTTGGTCATATAGTGCAGGATCGGTAACAGCTAGGTTTCTGCATAAAGTTAACATGAAATGGTTCAGTAAACATGGTATGAGCAGGAGAAGGTTTCAAAACATCATGGTTTTCAGACTCCTCCAATTCAATTTTACTTGCTGCTTTAATGTCTCAATTACTATTAGCTCTTCTACAGTAAATCATAGACCAGAGTGTCCTCCTATATATCTCATGAACTTGGCTGCTTTGAATACCTCTTAATATGACCATCTTCGTTGACTAGACATTGTGTGCTGCTTAAACAGATTTCAGACTATTTTCCTACAGAGCTCTATTGATTGAACTTAGGACAAACTTCACTATCCATCAAAATCTCAAGCTTTGGGAGCATACAAAAAATAATTATTTACCCTACACATTTAAACTTTACACCCAATGAGTCCGGTCCTTGAAGAGCCCTAGAAACCTCACTCATTGTTAGCAAAAGAATATGATAGAATAGGGAGAAGCAGGGAAGATTCCGTCAACGAGAATGAGCAATATAGCATGCATCAACTGTTAGAACAGAGTATCAGAGATAACTAACAGAATAATCTACAAAGTCGTAGCTAATACAGAGGTCCGCTTTCCTATGAAAGATCCTAACAATGCGATGCTAAATGTAAGACAATCCTTTCCCAAGGAAACAGGGCATAGACCTACCAGTTAAAAAACTAAACATCCTATAAGTTCTCGCATACTTCCACTAGAATCATGACCAAGAATTCATCTCATCAATCATTCAATTTGTTTCTAATGGGAGACAATGAGACATAACATCACCATAATCCCAAATCTCAAATGCACAATTTCAGTATATACCGGCTATTAAGCTTCACAGGCATACCTGGCTTATACAATTGCAGACTAAAATTTGCCAAGTACAATGATTGGGCAAAAATCCACTCTCTAATCCACCTCGTAGGAGTAAACATGCATCCTCAAACAACCCCTCCTTGCACTGCCAACTGATCAAAGTGTTATATGTAATAACATCTGGGCAAATTCCTTCAAGTTTTAGCCTGTCAAACAGATTTAAAGCCTCACGCATGCGGCCTTCCCTGCATAGGCCATTCAGGAGACTGTTATATGTAACAATGTCAGGTGTCAAACCTCGGTGTACCATATCCCTTAAGAACTCAAGTGCTTCTTGTACTCTTCCAGTTCGACCGAGGCCATTAATCAAAATATTGCAAGATATGTTATTGGGACGAAGTCCTTTTCTGGTCATTTCTTCAAATAATCCCAATGCTTTATCAACAGCACCAGCTTGACAGAGTGCCTTAATCAGGCCATTATAAGTGATATTATCAAGAGGACACCCTCTAAATATCATTTCATTTACAAGCTTAAGAGCTTCTTGAATCTCTTGCCTCTTTAAGAAGGCATGCGTCAATATATTATAGGTAACCGTATTAGCAGCCACTCCTCCTAATAACATGTCATGGTACAATCCCAAGGCCTGTTCCACCTTATCATCCTTGGTTAGTCCATGTATTAAAGAATTGAATGTATATATGTCAGGCTTACATCCTTTGTCTGTCATTTCATCGTACATTGTCAGGGCTTCAGCAATTCTTCTTTCCTTACATAGAGCGCATATGAGGCAATTGTATCCCACTACATTCAGGTTGATTCCCTTCCCTGTCATCTCAGTCAGAAGACAATTAGCTTCATTTAGGTAACCCAGTTTGCAGAGTGCATCAATCAACATTGTGTATGTGATAACATTTGGCTTACAACCATTATCTTCCATCTCATTCACCAAATCCCGTGCAGAGTGCAAATGCCCCTTCTGACAAAGTCCGTAGGTTAGTATGTTGTATGAAAAGACATCTGGCTTGTAGGGACTATCCAAAAGGCAACAGAACAGAGACTTAGCTTCATCGAATCGTCCGTTCATCACAAATCCACTCAACATGGTATTAAAAAGCACAACATCTGAACTGGGCATTTTGTCCCACAAAGCCCTCGCTTCATCAACTTTTCCCACTTTGCATAGAGCATGAATGAAAACCCCATAAGTAAAACCATCAGGGGTAAACCCACGAAGAAGCATGCGGTCAAACAATTTAGCTGCCTCATGAATCCGGTTGAGCTTACACAGACCGCCTAAAATGTCATTAAAGGTCTGAACATCAGGTCTGCAACCCATAAGGAACATCTCATCCAGTAATTTCAACGCATCATCAACTCTTTTTCTCTTGGAAAGTGCATGAATAAGAATTTGGTACACTGACGAACTAGGCGCACAGCCATGTCTTGTCATGTCTCTCAATAGAGAACATGCCGAATCCACCTCATTAATAATACAAAGGGCCCTCATCACCACAAAAAAAGTATAAACAGTAGGAGAAACACCTTTACTCAACATGTCATAATATACATTGGGTGCGACATTTGGACAGTTAGCAGCTACTAGTATGTCCAAAACAACATTATACGACCTAAATGTTGGTTCACAAAAATAGACACTTCTCATATCCAAGAGCAACCGTGTGGCTTGTCCAGGCAAACTAGCTCTTCCATAGTGTTTCATAATCATTAGAAAAAGGGACTCTCTAAAAGCAATCTGTTCTTCTTTCATTTGCAACAACAGTCTATCAATAATCTTAAACTCTTTTGCCGCACCCAACTTATCAATCAAGATACAGTATACATCAAATGTGTGGGAATAGTTCTTCTGTGCACCTGCCCGCTCGACTAACTCCATCGACATCGGCACATCAATCGGAAGCACGAGCAATTTGCAAAGCTGATATGGTGAAATCCCCGTAAGTGATTTTCGTAGTTCTTCCAAATCAAAAGGTTTAAGTAACCTCTCCCACTCCGTCTCCTTCTCTGTACCTGACTCATTCATGCCGAGAAGAGTCCCAACCACATTTACTTTCTCCGATGCCGCCATACAAAGTGAACAACAAACAGGCTCAAATAAGGACCAAACAAGCTTGCCCCCGGATGGAGGGAGTCTAAAACTCCTGAACATTACTGTTGGAGGTCAGAGCCAACGATACATAGATTGCATTAAACCGAATGCCTGTGGCTCATACTTTTTCCTCGCAAATATCATTCGAGCGAATGCCGACACGAATTATTTCTAGAAGATGCTGCCCCTCTGCCGGCCCAGTGATCATCTGAAAGGTTAATCGAACGAGCATATAATGAGTGATCATTAGAAAAATGCAGATATCAGACCGTCACACCTAGTTGTACTAGAATGAACATCTGGATTCAAAATTGCACATTAAGCGAGACAAGTCACCCTCAAAACCCACACATGTCTTACAGACGAATCGAAGGAATCACGAAAGTAAACACGAATACAGATTGTATCAGACACGAAACGGAAACGACAGTTTGAGTTGTTTCCGAACCTCGATATCCCATAAACATCATATGCCGACAGTCATCCTAAGCATCTTCGTCGGTTGATTCAACAGAAGAATTGCAAAAATCTTAAAGATTAGAGAGCTCCACCGACGGAGACAAGAGACCGATGAGAGAGGAGATGCTTCTGGTTCCGACGAGACTCCGACGAGGATTCCGACGCCGGCATCATCGCCATGAGACGACGGACGTGGAGTTCGCACGAGAGCAGAAGACGCGCCGGCGATGAAACTCGACCGCCTGCGTCGTCATCGGCGGGACGACGACGACGACTTGAAGAGGAGGCTCGATGAACCGGCCGCGTTGTCTCGACGAGGAAGGGCAGGAGGCGCCACTCGCTGAGATGGTGCGCGACCGCCGTGGGCGGCGGTGGCGGCGGCGACGGCGGCGGCGAAAATCGGGCCGGGAATAAGAGAGTGCAAGACTAGCGTCGGCGTGCCCCTTTGGGTGCGGTCAGTGACTGACAGAGGAGAGTAGTGCAATTAAATTGTAATTCTAAATATCTAAAATATCACGAATTTTGTGTAATTATTTATCACCCAATCAATTTTGCTGACGTGGAATATCGAAATCCAACGTGGCGCTTTCGTCAACCCATTCTTGACATAAGCGGATGACGTGGCATCGACGAGGTGCCACGTTAGAAAAAGCGAATTTTCTTGAAATAAAAGCGAAAAAAAAAGCGACAAATCTCTTTAGAAACAGAAATCAAGCTTAATAACACGGGCTCGAACTTTGAAGTCGTTTTTCAATTTAAATTATTTTTTTTCTATCGAATACCTCAATTTCTATCTATGAGTTCTTTTTCTAGATCAAGTGCCATGTCACTGATTTTTCCGAGATGATTTAATAACGAAGCATGCGAGACTCTTTGGGCACTCGATTGATCTCCGTTCCATGTCTAAGAAGCTCCATATTCCTTAGGCATAAGAAGGTAATTAGATGAAGGCGCAACGCAAAGGATCCTTTCATTATTGGAAAGGAAAGGGGCTCGAAATGGTTGGTGCCAATTTGTTCGTTTTTGGCATGAGCACTTTCATTTTGAAATGGCAGGCTTTCTCTTACGCTCAGAAGATTTGAAAACCATGAAGAACTCAAATAGTCTCCAGAACTCAAAGACGAAATTGTCCCTCTTTGCAAGCTCATCTGGGCGATTTGGTTATGAGTTGGTTGCGTGTGTTTTGAATATCGCTGCGAAATTTTGGATTTGGGAATTGGCATTGTAGAAAGAAACGGCGTTTTCTTAAATAGGGACGTAAAGATAATTAATGTGAAGACACAAAGTAGTAAAACTCATGTATGCAGGGAAAAGTGCCAAAAAGTCCTAAACCTTTTGCATTAGTGCCAATTTAGTCCTAAACCTTTTTTGGTGCCAATTCAGTCCTAAACCTTTTGCATTGGTGCCAATTTAGTCCTAAACCTTTTTTGGTGCCAATTAAGTCCTAAACCTTTTAAATTGGTGCCAATTCAGTCCTAAACCTTTTGTTTTTGTGCCAATTTAGTCCTTCCGCCAATTTAGACCGGAATTTGCCTACGTGGACGCTGGCCGGCGGCGGCCGTCACCGGTGCCGACGTGACAACTTTAATATTTTTTAATATTTTTTGAATTTTTATTTTTTTCCTTTTTTTTTTCACTTTTTTTTTGGTTGTCTTCCTCCTTCCTTCGGCCGATCGCCGGTCCGGCGCCGGCCGGAGGCCGAGGCCGCGAGGGGGCCTCGCCCGAAGTTTAGGACTTAATTGGCACCAAAAAAGGTTTAGGACTAAATTGGCACCAATGCAAAAGGTTTAGGACTCAATTGGCACCAAAAAAAGGTTTAGGACTAAATTGGCACTAATGCAAAAGGTTTAAGACTTTTTTGGCACTTTTCCCCATGTATGCATTAGGTTCTATTTTCAAAAGTAGAGGTGTGCAAGTCGTCATTGAGTGAGAAATGAGGTATGCTTTTGGTACTAATCGATCGGAACCCCGAGACCAACCTCGACAATTACCAAACTTACCGAGACCAACCTTACCGACCGTTGCCAGGTTGATCACAATGAGACCTGGAGCAGACTTTAATATCTGATGAGGTTTCGAGGTTGTGGTCGAAGTATTGGGCAGATGAAGCTTATGGAGCTCGAAGAATCAATGGCTGAATCTAATTCATTCTAACGCCCCAATAGGCATGAAAAAGCTAACGGCAAGCATAATGAAAACACGCGCGCGCACAAACACGAGATACATCGGATCCTACACAAACACGAGAGACATCGGATCCAGTACAAAATCTTAATGACGGGACCGATGAAGTACAAAATAAGATGCGGGAGTTCATGTATTCTCTGGCCGGTTCGAAAACCGGCGCATGACAATTGACTTCTGCAACACTATAGAAAGATCTTCTGCGTCCACGGTTGTTTGTATTTGAAGTGAGCAATGCCTAATTCGCGGTCATGTAAGCTCCTCATACTCTTTGGCTTACAGATAGTAAACAAGCCTAGGTCTCTTCAATCTCTAATTGCATTAGATAGAGTTGTCTTTAGTTTCCTTTTTGTTTTCCTTTTGTCCTTGACCAAGTCCCAACAGAGGAAATGATTCATCCATTACTTGAACAATGTCATTTGATGCTGCTAGAAATGACTTTCTTGATATCCAGAAACAACAGAGAACAAATCTCAGAACATCTCTGACAAATTTCAATTTCCTTTCACTCACCAATCTCGACCTCCCTTGCAAGGAAGGGCTGATTTTCATGAAGGCCTCTCAAACGCGTCGAATGCATTCGCTATAGTTGATTTTTTGTGCTCATGTTATCAGCTTCGCATCTTATTTGCTAGAAACTGTGCAATATTAGAATAAGAGCAGATTATTCAGCTTAAGTTAAAAGGTGCATGGAATTGGGAGACAAAACGGTTCATGTGTTACATCAAGAAGACAAATATAAGCGGAAGACTGGTCTACAAACCTTAAATTTTCTTACTTAGAATCTTCTTAATCCAAACTTCTGTTACAAAAGTAAATTAGTCAGGCATCCCCCATTTGACCAACCTAAAATCTAAACACGAGAAGCCAAACTCAAAACTTCTGTAACAAAAGTAAATTAGTCAGGCATCCCCCATTTGACCAACCTAAAATCTGAACAGGAGAAGCCAAACTCAAATTACAAAGGAGAACTTCAGAATTTAAATGAAGCAATTAAGCAAAAAATGTATCACGAGCATGTAGAACCACTCAATACAATAAATTAGTACCGGCAAAGTTTTATTTCGAATGATGAGGAAAAATAATCATTCAAGTATACCTATTGGTCGAGGGGCATCCATTCTAATTCTAGCTCTATCTCTCCAGATTCGACATTCTGAAGCTTAAGCGAGACCTCCTGCTTCACTTTCCCATCGACTATGTTGACTGTGCTGTCCTTTACGAGGGCATTGTCATGAGATTTAAGCCACTTTCCAATCTGCATGTCTCCGAACATTCCAGCATCTCCAAACGCCATCGCAGATGTTATCATAGGTTGGAGATCTACCTCTGCCTCCCCCATGATGTCATCAGCTGAAAACGTGTCATGATCAAATACCCGCTGCAGAAGTATGGAGATAATTCTTAGTAAGGCACAGTAGATGAAAATTTTCTGTGGAAATTCTAACAAAAATGCTTGTGGAAAAAATACTTGAACATGATTTGCAAAGAAAATAGCATATATCAAAGTAATTTGTGTGATTCAAGCAAAACCATTGTGCGAGATGTATCCAGAGTCGCAATTCCAAGAAATTTATAGCAACATGTATTGTGTTCAAAAATAGGATTTAGCCCTCAGTGATCCAGAGATTTACAAACATGTATCAGATGATAAATAAGATAAATAGAATGCATTCCCTTAAAAATAAAGCTTAAACTGCAGGGATCATACTAAAACCCACAATAGATGTAACTGTCATGACAAGCAGAAGAACCAAATAGAAGGATAATTCTGAAAGAATTCAGTCTAGCCATATCATCAGTAAATGTCATTCAGAAACCAAATTAAAATGTGATAAAGATGACGAACCAAAGAAAGTGATAGACCCAAGAAGTTTCAACAAGTCAGGTGTTTAATGGAAGTAAAACGTAATATTCTGAAGGTATTGGGATAACCAACTAGACTGCTCTTCTCGAGGAATTGCTTCATGGTTGTTGTATCACCAAGAGGGAATGAGGTTAAAAGAAAACTTACCAACTTCAGAGGCCCAAATTCCTGAGGAACAGAGAGCATGAGTTCCTGATTCCAAACTGGATTTAAGTTGCTCTTGATTACATTAGTTTGAGCTGTCTGATAACAGAATTCACACGTTGTCAATAACCACATGCCATAAAAGAAACTTAACTCAAAAGCAGAACAGGATTACACAATGATGCACACACAAGTACCAAAACCTAACAAGCAGTAAAACAAAGGTATCTGCCACGACCACATGCAATTAAGATTTGGCACTTGCTCGAACCATCATTTAAATAGATGATTAACAAATGATCTATTGCAGTATGTAATTCACACAGGATAAGGATATTCGAGGCATGAACTATTGTGATATAAGTCAAAACAGAGACAACAACTAACCTGATGCCCAAGATTCAAGACAACATAAGGATCACTTGATAGCATATCTCTGATGGCTAAATTTGTACCCTTCATTACTTTCACCTTCAATAAACCAATAAACTCTACCATGCCTTCCTGTAAAACAATTTGCATCACAGCAACAACCAACTGCCATTACCAAATGAGGCACCAAATACCAATAAAAGAACCATTTGCTTACAGATGATTTAGCAAATCAATAAATAGATCAGCAATTATGGAAAGTGGCGCAATGTAGAAAAATTTAGTTGAGCCCCACATAAACAAATGCATCAAACAAATCAGAGCAACCAAAAGTAGAATTCTATGTATGGTCTCCTTGCATATTTTCACTCAAGTTTCTACCTATAGATGCCGGAGTTCAGAAAACCTAAGAAAATAAGAAGGGTAATACAGCTTAACCACTTACGGAATTCTTTGATGAATTTGAACTTCTGAAGCTATCCATAATCTTCCGAGAAAAACTTGATTGAAGAGTGCTCCTTTCCGATGGCCTTGAAGCAATTCGTAAGCTAGGCTTCAAAAATTCTTGAAGCTCATACTTAGATCTACGTCCAAAGGTAAAATCATACAGTTAATCTTAGGAAAAGTCAAAACTAGTCCTAACCAGCATCAACTTCCAAGTAGCATGCAAGAAACACTTCTTACCACGAGAAGTGAAAAAGTGTGTACAGTTGAAAAAAAAATTTGATACACAGATGGTCATAATGAATACAATAGGTCGGTTACATACAGAGGGTGCGACAGACTTGAACTTTGAGCAAGTTATAACCTGATAAATCTCATGCGTTCCTCATGACTAGTATCAGGTCCAGGCTTTTTAACTCCTTCAGGGATAAATGCCTCATAAATTGCATTTGCAGAAGAATTCCCTCCGACTTCAATCATGGAATCAATCTCATCATCAGACCAATCATCCAGTGTCACAGACAAAACCTGAAACAAAACGAATAAAGTCGTGGCTAATTGTGTCTAGTAACTTTGTGCTCCTATAAAATGACACCAAGTGAAGGGGAACATATATTTTCCAAAAATCCTATGATTACAAATATATATGTTATAACTTTTTGAAATAACGGCACTTAGATTGTGCAAAAGATTCTGTGAGATTACTTGCAAAAAAATATTGTCTAAAGGCTAATTGCAAAACAACTTATAAGGCAGTCTTCTATTAGTATTTGAAGACAAGAATCCAAATTAGCAAAAGTGAAGCCAACAAGCAAAAAATCAAAGAACTTTCATCAATATAATTAGCCAATAGATCCAAACCTGCATCTGTAGTATGACATCAAAAAATTTGGTGATTCCATCTGTGAAGTGAAAGGATTTCCTAATAGCATATAAGTGATTTCAGAGGGACAATGAGATTAAATACAAGGAAGTTCCCTAATCTTCCCTTGATTGGAGAAAACTACAACGGTATAAATATAATTACATGCATCCCAGGTTTCATAATTTTCATTTTGCATTCCATTATCAGTCACTCACTTTAGATAAAAGCCGAAAATGCTCTCGCGAGCTTGGCCCTTCTTTAGTTAATTTATCTCAATATTACAGATGCTCTTTTGTAGATATCTCTATTTTTTCTAATTTATAATCATTTATAAAAATAATAATGCAATGTCACAATAACAATAATGGGAAATGCAACATGAGATGTGAAGCTTTCTAGATGAAAAAGTGACCCTCTCATTTTAAAACACTCTGAAATCATGAGTCGACTGTTTTATGAACTTCAACCAAATGCATATTGCTTCTAATCAGAATGCATTTCTTAAGGCCGTCAAAAGCCCATTATTCACCATATCTATAGTAGAATCAGTCTTTTGCTCTCCTGAAATATGTTGCAACTTGCCAATACGCCACTAAATGTATAACAAGAAAAGTACTGTTTTTACAAATCTTTCACACTTGAATAGGATGATCTTGTGCAATTTGATCCACACCACAGACCACATCAGACTCTTAAGTAGCTAGATTAGTGTGCAACAAAGCCCAACCAGTTGACCACATTAATAAGGTTGTAAACCTGCAAATCATGCTCTGTATCCACTTTTTTAGTACATCGTGCTCTTACAAAATTAGTTAGCAAAAATGTCCAACCACAAATGAACCTTCTCTCTCTCACACTGTTGGCTTTATTCGACATTGCTCGGACATATGGCATAACCTATCTACGTAATCCTGTTTCAGTGATTTCAAAGGTCGACTAATCTCTAGAGACTATTGTATGAGGCTTTGCATCTGCTAACTTGCTACCTTGACACTTCATAAATTTTACTAGCAAAAAGATTGTGCTCCATATTTACATGATTGTTTCTCTCATACTCCCATTTGAATATTGCATCCCATGTTATGCTGGCTAACATTCTCTGAAGTGCCCCCTTATCCTTTGACACACCTTTACCATGCCCCAGTAGGGACTCTGTCACATAAAATCTGTTTTGTCATCTCCAAAAGATTATCAACTGAAGCATCTCTTTTGTGCAATTACCAACTCTACATCATTCTAGCAAGGAAGAGAAGATAGGAACTATATTTTCTCACAAGCGTCGTTGGTACAAAAAGAAAAATTGTAGAAACCGGAGACAGCTTTTAACTTATCTAAAAGCTTCTAAAAGCTTAACTTAACAGGAAATAGACCTACAATGTATCCCGGCATACTTATTAGCACTCCACCTGACATGTAAGATAGGCCTCATACTTGAAACCCAACTACAGAAATGACCACATCAACCGGATAGAATGACACCAAAAGGGAGTGTAGGATTTAAACTCTTGGTCTATGGTACAATACCATCTTATACGATTTTCCCCAAGAGCTTAATCAGATTATGACATTGGATTAATTTTTTTTACCATAAGATACAGCAACATAAGATGTCAAAACATGTAAAACTGGTTATGTACCATTAAGGAGCACATAACTAGGACAATATACCTTTGAGATGTGAGTTCCCAAACTTCTGTGCACTCCACAACATTTTAAACATATGAAAACTCCAATATTTGCCGACCTGCAGATTCAAAGTCAAAGTTTTCTTAACAGTCCTAAGACAATATATTGTGGCACATAGCATATTCCATGTATTGAAAGTTTCCAACATGCCATGGGGCAATGATCTCATACGATTCTCCTCTCTGGTTGTAAGCTTACCTCCTCTCACTAGCACAATGAAGTACCGCTGAAGTGGTCAGCCCACACTAAGTAAATCTGATTCCAATTTGTATGTACACTGATTAAGCAGGACTCCAATTCCACCCCTTTTTTGTGATAATGTGATGCTTAAGCTATGTATTTGACTCTCAAACCCAAATCACCGTGGCCTCCAAAGACTGATTTACAATTTTCACATTATCAAACTATATTACATACTCATAAGGCACATTATGGATAAATCTGTACGTGACGTTATTTGTCTCTCAAAATCTACACGACACTAGCTTCAACTTCTGAAATTAATCCAGCAACTAAATTAACAATAGGCACTCAGAAAAGATGACTTTCAAAGAACAAGTAGATGATTGTCACAACTACAGATTCATCTCTAGTATTTGCAGTAAGCTTATCTAATTAAAAAGCGTATCAAAGTTCATTACTAGGACAAGGTGAAATCAAAGTATATTAAACATAAGCATAGAAAAGATGAAGTCCGAAAACTTACGCCCATTTAGGATCAGGAGCACTGCAATCAGCACAAAAGCGGTTATCACTCTGATTTAATAGATCCTTTATTATTCTCTTGCCTGAATGAGGGCAAAAATATCATCTAATAAATTTTGCCAGGTCACCATGTGATATCAAAAGCTACTAGCTTCCAAACAGAAGGGATATAGAAAAGAAAAAATCATGGCATTCACGTAAAAGTTGCAATTCTAGTTTTTTTTTCCTTCTCAATAATTGGAAAACCGAAATAGCAAGGAAAGAAGCAAGATTATGATGATATAAATAACATGTAAAGTGACTTTAGAAACTTTTTGCATAAGGACAGCTAGTTTGACTTTTTGAGGTATCATCCCTCATGAACATCTAACCAAATTATCAAAGGGTCCTCTAATCCCTTCCTTCCCAAGCTCAGGAAATGGAGACGGAGAAAGAGCTTGAAAAGGGGAATGAAATATTGGCAACAATGAGTTTCTTCCATAAATAAAAGTAAAAATCAGTAAAGGACACCAAGAGATGCCAACCAATTACAAAAAGGATCAAAAATAGAATATACCTACATGAAAGGAATCTACTCAAAGCATTTCTGTACATCAAAATATTTTTCTAGCACCAAAAGCATAAACTTTCAAACCATCTAGCCCCCACTGCAATGATAAAAAATTTCTTTCAACCAAAAGCCTTTCCATTCGTCCCTGTCATTACTAACCAAAAATCAAAAGATGGTCAAACAAGCTCCCTCTTACTCAAAATAACTTTCCTGCCTTGCCCCCACATCTCCCACTGCTGACTATACCATAACCCAATATAGCCCACGCTCAAAACTTGATCTTTTTTATTCAAAAAGCAGTGGGGCTAAGTAGAAACTATGCTTTCCTTTATGCACAGAAAAGTGTAACTTGCTAAAACTCTCTTTATTATTCAAATTAGCTAATACAGGAATCAGACCCTCCACACCCCCCCCCCCCCCCCCCCCAAACCTCCCATGGCAGTCCCCCAAATGAAAAGCAGCAAAAGACACAGAATATTGAGTTTATCTGATCCCCATGCTTTCCTAAGAATATGCTTAATTCCTAGTAGGGATTAAATAAAGACAGCTCCCAATTACACCATGTTGAAATAAGATTCACACCCACTCGGATGTCAAATTGGAAAGATAAGGCTTTACCAGTACCCTGCAAAAGAACTCGAACTCCTCATCTTGGACTTGGCTGAGAATCTAATGATGCATACTATTCCAATGGTTCGGTTGGTACCACGATGCTTTTACTTTTAGCAATTCAGGGATCTGACTTTTGATAGGGTTGGTTCCACAGTAATTGCCAAGCCAAAGATACATTCTTCCAACTTCTCTCACCATGACAAGCAATTGATCCCAAAAATACTTCCATCTTTATCTAATCATTGTCAAATGATTGTTCCATAAGGTGACCATCAATTCTACTCAGAAAACTGACTCAACTGTCTTGTTCTGCCATACCCTTCCAAACAATGACAAAAAGTACCCTTTGAATTGTCAACCTCTCAAGAAAATAAATATGCCACAAGTGCATGATTGCCAATTCAAGTACATCCGAAAATTGCTTATTGAACAAAGTTACAGCTCCAAAAATTTAATGAAGGACACTCTTTAGAAAGAAGCCTATTTGCAGAAGGAAACTGATAAGAAAGAAGAAAAAGAAAAGGCTAGCTATATGATCTTACCCAATTGAAAGAAAATCAAGAGAAAAAAAGTACAGATTCTTTATCGATTAGGACCAGATCGAGTTTATCAAACACTGAATTAAGTCCATCTTTTGCCACTAAATAATTTGCATTTATGATGTTCTGCTGTACCCTGGAGGCTCTGTGCTAGACTATTCTTCATAACCATAACGGGAGAACCTGTAGACGAGTTTCCCAAGCTGGACCAGCTAAGGCCAGAAAAACGTGAATGAATTTTATTAGTAGCAGAAGCAGCTCCAAATAGGCTCTTCAACCACCATAGAATTTTAATGTGCTTACAACAAAAACAATTTCAGTAACTTCTGTGCATCCGATGGGTTTTCAAATCTATCTTAGTAGCCAAAATTTTCTGTTCTAAATTCATTGCCATATCATGATCCGAACACAATATCATTATATATGGGATTATCCACGAGCAATTTGGAGTATCCTTGAACATCTTCCCCATATGGTACATGATAAATCCTATGACAAACTTAAAAACATATGAAATACCCACAATCTCTGATCATGTTCAGAAGTCTGCTCATCTAGAAATCAAGGCAGAAGCCGTATAAAAAAGAGACACTGTGATGTACTGTGAGTACCTGAGGCGGGTCTGCCAAGTTCATACGCACGGCTACTCATCCTTCAACGAGGGACTGGCAACCATCCAACAAAATTCTATCTTCACCACATGTTGCAAGAAAACAACGAAAAACAACGGCATGGTTTAGCAAAACTTTCAGTTCACATTTGAACAGCACGCAAAAGGCACTAACTGGAGAAAAATCTGGCATGGTCGAGCTGCCAAATCAACTGATAAGCCCAAAATCCAAACCAAAAAAAAGAAGTCGAGAACCGCGCAAAGAAAGATGGGACCAATTCAAGAGACGAAATCCCAGAGAGGGATGAGCGATCATCCTAATAATGTGGGCACGCAACAAGCATTCGGGACGACCAAATATCAAGAAACGGTGCATCAAATCATCTCCTTTCACGCAGCCCATCTTCCACAGCGAACGAACAAAGAGGGTGGGGAATGGAACATGCAGCAAATCATCTTTCACAGCGGCCCCGATCACAAGGCATGCAGCAATCGGGTCAAACCATGCGAGCGGAACCGAGAAAAATCGCTTCAGGGAACATGGGTTGACATCATGGATTCCGACAAGACCATTCAATCTTTAGGACCACAGCGAAGGGGAAGCGCGGGGGCAAAATGGTCGGAACAGCGACACCCACCTGCGGAATCGAACCGAACGCGCAAAAGCTTCAAACCTCCGAATCCTCAAAGAAGAAGAAGAAGAAGAAGAAGAAGAATCGCAGAGGGATGACTATGTACAAGGAAATGATGAACAGAACACAGGAGGATCGGAGAGCGAGAGAGGAGAGAGAAACAACGCAGGACGGAATTTCGCACGATGGGATGGGGATGGGGGTGGTGAGAGAAACAAAGCCTGCGTTGAATCGAAATATTATAATACATACATACGTAGTTGTATAAATTTACAGATGATGAACTAATTTTTTTTTTATAATTTTATATACTTTTTAAGGATCGAGAACATTACTCAAATAAAACTTATAAATGTTACGTTTGGGAGCGACCATATCACACGTAAGGAATGCACCGCAGAGACAGCAACACAACAATCTTAACATGTTATGAATTATGTCCGTGCCTGTGCCTAAGCATCTCTCGCATATGATTGATTGTTCATATTAGGTAAAGCTGTCAAGTAATGTAACGGGCGATGCAGATAAGTCTATATCTGGACATTTCGTTTAATGATGATTCGTATCTTTTTTATCTGGTGAGATGGGTAAAAGGATTTTGTGAGGTCGGAACTATTTATTTACTCGAAGTCAAACATTTATATATATATATATATATATGAAGGGATATTCTTTGAGGATGTACTTGGCACTTTCATGGGCTGCGTGCATGTTCACATTGCTGACAAGGACAGGGGTTCCATCTCCCCCGTTCCCCAAAGTCGCTCAACCAAAACCAACCGTTTTCTGTGATGATGCTTCGTTGGCCTTCTTCTTCACACGAATGATTTCATCCTTTGACCAATCTGCCTAGGAACCTGGAACCTGGAACAAATGTAAGTTCAGAACTTTTTTTTTGAAAGTTGTCGAGGTGGTGTTCAGACTGACTTTCGATACGGAATCGATCTTCCAACGGCTCGATCTCTGATCGGCTGCGGTCCTTGAATTTTTCGGTTCAGCGAAATTATGTTCTTATTATTTGGTCGCCGGTCAATCGATTCATTAACATTTCGATTTGGTCAAAGAATAAAGGAGGTCTGATATGTAGATCTATATCTTGTCTCGCACTATAGGAGCGCGGTTCGCCTCGATCTCTCTCCATTTCTCTTAAGATGATGTGACGACTGATCACTTTCTCGATAGACCTATCAAACAAATAAGTCGAGTCATAAATGGTTCGACCAAAATTGACCCATTAACACATTTATGAATAATGTAAATTTCTCGACCCAATCAATATTGCTAAAATGCTTTTATATTTAACTCAATTTAAGAAAACTTATTTTTATGAATTTTTAAAAAATATTATATTGCTAAAACACTTGCATGAAATACAAATCTAGTGGACAAATTTTATAATTTTTTTTAAAATTGATTTTTTTTATATTTTACATTTTCTTTCTTTTCCTTACTTTTTAGAAATCCGGCCAAATTTCCTTCTTCCTCTAGCGTTCGACCGACAACAGTCCGACGACCGGTTGCGGCGGAGAAATAAGGAAAAAAAAAAGAAAAAAATATTATTAAAAAATTCGAATTTTTTTAAGAAATTCACGGCACTCGCCTAGTGCCGGCCGACGACCCTCGTTGGATTTCGTAGAACAAAAAAGAAAATCAAATAAAAATTATTTAAAAAATCACAAAATTAAAAAATCTAAAAACTTATTTATGACTCAATCAAGATAGTTTGGTAATCCATTTATGACCCATTTAAAACTATTAAAGGACCATCAAGTTATTAAGTAACACATTATGACCCACTCAAGCTTGTTTTCAAAACTAAAGGCAACCCATTTATTGACTTGCGCTATTAAATATGGCTTAATATATGGGTTTTAGACCCATTTTGCCACTTCTATTTCCCGATAAAAAGACACGATTCCTTTAATTATTGCACCTGAATAACTTGTTTTGTGGTGATTGTAATTTCCATGATTGGGAATTTTAAGACTGATTTGGTAATTTTGGACGGAGATAATGTTCGAATTTGGTCTTTTCTAGATAGAGAAAATTGTGCCGGTTGTCACATAAATGCACGATGACAGATGAATATTGTAGCATCTTCTTAAGGCGTTCTGTAATTCCATATTCGACTATACAATTAACCCAAGGTCACTTTTCAATTTCCCAAAATATCTTAAATTATCTATGCTGTATGTTAAAAAGGAAGCATCTCCATTTTAATTCTCCAGCTTAATTTATTTTTCTCATCAAAAAACTTCTTCAAAGGTTGAAATTATAAAACCCCCGAAAAACGGAAAACTTCACATCACTTTATAAGTCCAAAACTACGTAGTACGCACTACCTAACAAAGGCATATCTACTCAAATTCCAGCTTCGTTTGTTTCGTGAAAAATGATTGATTTGAATAATATTATTTTAAAAAATTTCGTTTGTATCATTTAAAAAGATGAATGAATGAAAAATATTTCTATTATTCACGGATATGTATATGCTCAAGATTTTAGAGTACTCAATTGAGGAGGGCAGTGACACTGGACATTGGTGGCGAGGAGGAGAGAATCTTGTAGGGGGCTTTGGGGGTGAAGGTGAGACAAAGATGAAGAACAACGCGAGATGATGGTAGTGATGACGACGACGATGAAGAAGAAGAAGAATATGGGTTATTCTGTGTTGGGATGGGTGCGAGTCAAGTTTGGATCGAGTCCGTTATGGCCCATACACAATATCCCTCACCCAACTGGGCAAGCTTATTCACCGAGTTGTCCGTTCTTCATAAGCAACAATTTAAGAAGAAAAATTGCTAAGCTTGAGAGCTTGAGTCGAGTCAGGTATGAGTTGTGAATAGCTCAAATCGGATATAGGTCGCTAAAATTGCATTACACGTAAAAATGGGTCAATTTAGGTCGGACCATTTTCAACCCAGCCCGACATGGCTAATGTAATCCCCGAGGGCAAGGCATGCTTGTTAATCCTTGTGGAATCGGTCATGTCATTGATGTGCCAAGATCACTTGTTGGGAAATAGTCTTATGGAAATGATTTAGCATAGCACTCAATAACATGCTTCTTCAACGATGGTATTATAAGCAACAGGACCAGATTACAGGTCCACTCCCCCACAAATGTGCGATGGGGAAAAGCATACATGTTGAAAAGATTAGTCTTTGAGTGGTCGCTAAAGGGAGGTTCTATGGACCCGCTGCTTTTCCTTCCACACGTGTTGGGCTCCACGTTTGAATCCGCCAGCTGATTTGGGAGAGACGCATTGGAAGTCTTAAAACCTCGTTTGCAAAATGCAACCAAGTCCATAATCTTTGAATTGCTTCGATCAAGTCATAAAACCTTTTTCAAAAAATGCAATCGGGACCTTTTCCATAAATAGCATCTGAGATTTGCACTCATGACACTCAAAGATCGCCTAAAGGGCATCTTTAAACCGCACTTTTCGACATAAGTTTAGCACTTAAAATTGCGTTTTCGTAACGAGGAGTGATGAATTGATTAAATAAATTGAAAGGTTCAGGACTCGATATCACTTGTCAGTGAAAGGGTTTAGGGGTTGATTGAATTAATTGAAATGAATTGGGGGGGGTCAAGCCTCGGTGCTTTCTCAGTTTCCGTTGGCAGTGGAGAGGGCTCGGGGCACTGTGGATCCTTATTGGGCTTGGCTCTTTCCAGATGGGCTTCACGAGCCCGGATTTTTTACACTCCGATAGGAAATTTTGTCTCATTTTATTTTGGATTAATATTACGAAAAACATCAAATTGATACGCTCGTGATAAATTTGTCCCAAATTAATTTTTTGACCGCCGAAGATTCCGAACTAATACATTTATGATAAATTTACCCCGAACTAATATTTTGATCGCAAAAAACATAAATATGATTCTGCTCCTAGTTTCTTGCACATTGGACTCTACAAATTGACTTTTCACGGGCCTTTTTAATAGCATAAATGAAATTGTATTAAGGATTCGTTCGTTTCGCGAAAAACGAATGATTTGGAAAACATATTTCTAAAGGTAATCGCTTATATCCTTTACAAAAATAAATGAATGAAAAATATTTTGATCATTCACGAAAATGTTTAGACATAAATAATTATTTAGAATGAAAATATTTGCCATTAACTAATAATTTCAAGAGAAATAAACAATCGTATTTAGGAAAATATTTTTCGAATAAATCATTTTTGGTGAAATAAACGGAGTCTAAGAGTCGATTGAATATCGTTTTTGGCGAGTTCCACCTTGCAGGCACTGGAGAGGGTGAGCCTCGCCGTCGCCGGGCGAGGTTGACCTCGCCATGACCAGGGTGAGGTTGAGCTCGCCATCACTGGGCGAGCTTGACCTCGCCGGCCTCAGCCTCTCGCCGGTTGCCGGACTGGCAACCGGGGAAAAAGATAGGGGGAAAAAAAAAGAGAAAAAAATAAAAATAAAATAAAATTTGAAAAAAACTAAAAAAATTTATTAAAATATTGCCACATCAGCCGGCCGGCGTCCACATCAGCGCCGGCCCGCTAAAAATGGCCGAATGGATTGAATTAGTACAATTGCAAAAGGTTTAAGACCAAATTAACCAAAAAAACGGTTTAAGACTGAATTGACATAAATATAAAAGGTTTAGGACTTTTTAGATAATTTTCTCTTTCAAATTTGCCAGTTCGTTTTCTCTCGTTATGTTTGAATTTCGCATTTGTGGTATCGTAACCATAACATGCCATTTCTTCTTATTATGTTCGAATGTCGAATTTGTCATGCCATTGCCATATCATGTTTTTTTTTTTTTCGTCCATCTGTGTTTGGATTCTGAATGCGTGATGTCATTTCATTTTCTCATTATATTTGTATTTGAAGCTCGCCTTGTCGTTTGCCGTGTCACGTCACTTTCTCAAATCACATTGAATTTTGTATCTGAATGAATAGAGCAATGCCACTACACATGAGAAAACAACCTCGTTAATAATCAATATCAATGACAAGTTAAGTGTTTTGGTGACATTTGAAATTGTAGAACAAAACACCATGCATGCTTGGAAAATTAATTGATGTATACTTTAGGACATAACCAAAAATAGGGCTGTGTCGAAAAAGTGTCGAGAGGTGCTAATATGTTCTATGCGTAATCGAACCCTCGTACTTGCGATCTTAATTTTTGTTTGACCAGTTCCTGCACACATGCACCTAATTAGTTCAATTTCTCGTCACCGCACAGGCTTCTATGTGTCCAACCAACCTAAGTTTACCTAAATTGATTGGCAACAACTTTAATATGACTATATAAACTTATCATCCTATTCACCACGTAAATTACTCGAATCTAGGATTTGGGAAGATCCTACGGACCGAGGTGCTGTTAGATGGTGGCCTCTCTTAGCAAAATTCGAGGTGCTACAATGAGTTCCAAGTAATTCAAAAAAAATTCTTAAAAATGAAGATAAAATCTACGCGAAGCATGGGCGGGAGTTTCATATTTATGATAAACTATAGTATGATCTCAATGTATCATTTAGCTTCTAGATTAATATAGCATTTTGCCTTGGTTAGGTTAATACATTACAACCTCAGATTTAATGATGTTTAGACGAAGTCCCATTTTTATGCATGAGCTGCTACCTACCTGCCTAATACCATTGGGCGGCAAATGAAATTTCATTTCTCTCCCCAAGCTAGGAAGTTCCTTGCGAAGGATGACCATCTCAAAATTAGAAATCAGAAAGAAAAATGCTAAGAGATTGGCTCTAAATCACAATCTATTTCATCTCTCAACAATCCCTATACACGTATTCATATTTGTCTATGGCAATATGTCGCGACACATGCCCGGCCCGTAACCCCAATGAGTGGTCGAGTTGATTAAAACTCAAACCTCAACACCGATCCGTGGCTCGAAGACACGTGACTGAAAACTTGAAAGGTTCTTAGGAGGGCTCGAAGCACAACATCGACACCGTTCCGGGCAGTTATGCGATCCCTCGGAGCCGCCCTAGGGAGACGATACGACCCGTTAATTATCCGATTACTTGTATCTGGGCTCACAACTTCTGATCCGACTTGCTTATAGACCTGGTGCTGAAGCATTCCCACAGAAGAATAACCTTTCTAGGCGATAGAGTTGAGCGAAGTTTGATAAATCTCTAAGACCAAAACTAACATTCAAACCTCATTTCTTCCTCCTAGTTCATACAAAATATCAAGAAAACAAGCACAGTTTGGGCAAAGCACCATCAAGTAGACATGAACCCTCAATTATAGTTTGGAAGGAGAAATTTTGGAAAAAAAAAATTAACTTACCAGACAGCAAATAAGGCCTCCTAACTTCTGGCAATAATGGGAATGACAGTGATAATTTGGGTTTATTATTCGGCGATACAGATCTGTCTCTGAATACCTGGTTCTCTTAATCAAATCCTAATCAATCAGGTAACAGATGGTAGATGACACCACTAACCAGTGATCAACAGAACTGACGCAGCTGAATTTAACCGTTACGCAAGAGCAGAGACTCCAGTTCTAGTAGACTTCGACATGCCACTGCTTGTTCTTCTTGAGCTGCGACAGCTTCTCTTCCCAGCTCATGCCCCTCTCCTCCGCGACTCTCTTCAGGGTCTCCTGGATACCCGGCATCATTCCCTTCAGCCCACAGAAGTAGATGTGAGCCCCTCCGTCCAGGAGCTTGAAGATTTCGTCGCTGTACTCCTCGATCTTGTCCTGGACATACATCTTGCCCCCCTTCTTATTCTTCTGCTCCCTGCTCAGCGCTGTGTCATACCGGAAGTTGTCCGGGTAATCTCGGAGGTACTTGGAGAACTCGTCGTCATAGAGCAGGCTGTCTGAGTTGGCCACGCCAAGAAAGAGCCAGGCAAGGCCCCCAAACTTGTACGTGGGGACAGATTCCATGAACATGCGCCGAAGGTAGCCTCGGAATGGGGCGATGCCGGTACCGGTCGCGATCATTATGTGAGTGGCGTTTGGGTCGTCTTCAGGCAAAAGCATGATCTTCCCAGAAGGACCTGCAAAAGATACAATTATCAAAGTCAAGCTCTCTTTCAGTATCAGACATGCATGATAGTTGAGCTCCTACTAGGCCTGGCATAAACAAGATATACAGAAAATTGACTACCAAAAGAAACCCAGGAACTTAACTTAGCAAACACAAGGTAGGCATAATTTGGACCATAAAGAAATTTTGTTTGAACTATCTTTGTCTATCAAATTGGGCAAACAGAGAGTACTGTCTCAATTTAAATACGATCTTAAAACATCTTTGAGCAGGCAATTGTAGCTAGGCTGTCAGTAATATTTCAAAAAGTTTGAGCAACATATTTTCCATAGTATATTACTTTGAGTACAATACTTCACATAAAAAGAAAGGAAAGGTAATATTTTGAGAGTGATGAACTATATTGGGCTTCTGAAAATGCAAAACATCAATATCTGTCCTCTGTCTCATACTTGCGGTCTTCCAGAGTGCATTACTGAGGATTTCAACAGACAAGTGTTACTCAGTGGCAGATTGTGCCGCATTCGGTTTCACATTCACGCAAACTAGGGTCCAAGACCAACAGCTCTCATACTAAAGAAACACTTTTAATTGAGCCCATATTTGCTAATACTTTCGCAAACCACTCACAAGTCTGATTGAATCATTTTATAAGTATCTATAACAATTTTATTTTTTTTGGTTTACCATCCAAGCTCAAGCAGAAATGGTAGATTGATTCTAGCACCAATCTGAAGGAGCCCTTCATCAATCTGAAAGTCCCAATACAATCAACAGTTAAAACACAACTCTCAATGAGAATTGCATGTCAATTTTGGTTCTGACCTTAGTCAGCAGTGGAGCATTCTTTAGGCACTTTCATGTTATTGATGAAGAAATGCACATATAAATTGCCAAACAGGTGGAAAGCCAGCATCCCAGGCTTCATTAAAGACAGAAGGTGAAAATAGAAGCAGTTATGATTGTTATCCTATTCAGCCGTACATAAACATGCACAAACTGCAATGGCATCAGGATAATTTCTTCCAACTACCAATTCTTCGCCAATTAACGGGAATAAGAATTTGTATTCAACCCTTCATTTAGTGATCATTAGACATTTAATTCAAAGAGGGCACTCGAGATGCACAAACCAGGAAAAATAGTCAGCTATACCTGTGATTTGAACTTTATCTCCAGGCTTTGAATTGCAAAGAAAGTTGCTGCACACTCCACTTTTAGAAGGATCCTCCTTCCCTGTCTCGGGATCAAAATAGAGAGCTCGGCGAACACACAAGCTGGCTGTTCTACCATCGAAAGAGTCACCATACCTGGTAGATGCAATCGAGTAAAGACGAACGTTGTGAGGGCTCCCTGGTTTCTTCGGATTTTCACCCTGCAATGCCACACGATGACGATGATTAAAGACTACTCAGCACCGAGTTGATGGTTTAATAAAAAAAATTCATCAAACAAAGCACGTTTATAAAATTTGGAGCAGCTGCTCAAGTTGAAACAAATCAAATGACACAGACAAGCATCGCAAATATTGAGAGTACAGTAAGTCACTTGGATTCACATACATTGCCAGAATTCATGTCAAGAGAGAGAAAGAAAACATTCCTGTAGTGAATTGGCATAAATAATTGACATACATGAAGTATCTTAATTCAAGGTCTCTTCCAAAACTAATTAATCCTTATCAAGGGAACTTGACAAGGGAAATTAAAAGGTCTTCTTGCTTTTGCTCGAATCATCAGTAACTCATGCCGCTCTTACACATTCAACTAATCACAACACAAACTAGAAAGCCAAAGTGGAAAGGAAAAGGATTACGGCTTCATGACTAGTAACTTACAGGAGGAATTACACCATAGCTCTGTCCTTCCCAGTAGGGGACGTTGCCGCCATGATCAATAACAACATGACAAACCTCACCAGGTGATTTTGGGGCTACAAGCCTCTCAACAGAAACAATGGTTGCCGTATAAGGTCCCTTTGGCTTGAATGTATTTAATGGAGGCTCTTTGGCATCCTCAAGTTGCAATGGAGAGACAGCAACTTTTGGTGCATTTGCTTGCTGCACCGACATGCATATTGTGTACCCCTGTTTGGATCTTGCATTCTTGGTACTCAAGTCCAATGTCAATACAGGTGCCCGTAATGTACCACAGAAACTGAGAGTATGTGCCTACAATTCATTAAAAACTAGTTAGCTTAACAGAGTAATAAAATTCACACACTGGGCAGAACAGAGTACTGCTACAAACTTTAGTATAGAAACAAGAATTTCATAACAAAATTTTCGAGTTGTTCAGTAACCAGTGGGACATAAACCTAGAAAGGAAAAGAATAACTCACAGTCAAAACTCTGAAGTGACTCATATATACTTCATCATATATAGGCGTCTGTCACTATTCTTAGAAGCAAAAAGCAACAGAATGGATGCCCTATGTTTCACCTTGCTCATAAATGAACCAAAGAGAATGCCATATGGCCATCTGGTAATCTCTGTATTAAAATTCTTCATTGGTTGCTGCTCAATTTGCATTTGGATCAAGTCCAGCATTCTAGACTCCATTTTTTCAGCATTGTATATATTCTCAAGTTTGAAACTTTTCCACGGTGACGCAACTGAGGAGTGCAACACAATGGAGAATTTCTACCCTCCTTGGGGACAAGAGTTTCAAAAGAAGTTGACTTTTTCCCTTATCTCGCATTATTGACAATCTAACCAAAAGCATAGTGCATGGAATGCATTCATTTTACTGGCGGAAGCAATAAAAGCAGAGAGAGCACAGACTCCTAAAAAAAAAGGGACAAAAGAACAGCTACCTTAAACACCGATCTTCTGATAGATGAATCGCTACCAACAGGAACAGCAACAGAAACCTGTAAAAATTCACTTCACCGATCAGTTTCCCACAAACCCAAAAACACAAAAAAGACTTAAAAGAATCAAAGAATGGAGAAAAGGCAAAGAACAAAGTCGCACTCCATGGAAGCCAAGAAAACGTTACAGAAGCGAGCGAATTTGTGCTAATCAGATAGAATCCGCCATCTGGGTCATTCTCAAGTCCAGTCCCACATTCGTTTTCAAGAACCTTTCCCTCACTTTTCCTCTCGACCCCCGAACGGCAAAACCAAAAAAAGACCGATCAAGATCGATGTACCCACCTGAGATACAGCCGTGTGAGCCATTGGATGGATCCAGAGCAGCGGAATCGACAGCGGCCAGATACAATCAAACTGCAAGGATTGTATGGGGGGGGGGGGGGGGTGGTGGGGGTATGCAAGGAGCTACGAGTTGGCAAAGAACACGGGGGTCAGGCGAAAATCAAGAACGAGTTTTAACTCGTTTAAGTAACAGACCGGACAGTGATCCTTTGGAGAGGGGCAAGAGACAACTTGGGTTCTTGATTCTGGCTCCTCAAGAACCCCACTGTCTCATTTGACTCTCCAAACCCTGTTGCTGCTGAGTCCGTGCTTCCTTCAGATGGCCCCAAACACAAATCTATGTACCTCATTTCTTGATTATTATAATAAGCACGCTTATATTTTTATTAGGGCCCAATTCCCTAAAAAATCCTCAACTTTACCTTTTATCCCAAACTTTTTTTTGTCTTATAAAAAACCTCAAATTTTTACTTTTGTCCCAAATCTACCCAACTCACTTTTCGTCCAAATTTTTAATATTATAAAATAACAAAAAACCTAACATCCATCAATTTTTTCTTAATTGGATCGTCCCTATAATCTATGTATATAGAGGTGGCTTATCATCCCTCCATACAAATCTAGCCAATTTAGAAACCTATATAAGATAAAGTTAGTTAGGCACTTACTTTATTCACATTTGCGTGGCGTCTTGTTGGTAAGTTAAGATTTAGTCAAACCGGAGATTGTTTCGATACATTAAAATCGAAAGTATGAATTATTGATAGGTCCATTCAATGAACGTCTTTGGGCACAACTTTCCGTATGATATTTTCTACCCAGACAAATAGATTTTGGCAAAAACATCCAAAAACTCATCCGAGTATTTATTCCATGACTAATTACATGCCTCTATATTTTTAAAATGGAGATTTGCATCCTCACTTTCAACAAAAAATATGCATCTATCGACAATTGGCCGTCATTGCCATCTTTTTGAAGGCGACGTACTAAGAAGCTATCGATTGAAGAAACTTTATGTGATGCAATGATTTTCTCGTGCTTTGTATAATTCATCATTTTTTAAGAATTATTTCGTATAAAATATGTTTAACCAGTGCCCTAAACAACTCGTAACCATATGAATTCATTATAAAATAACAAAAAACCTAACATCCATCAATTTTTTCTTAATTGGATCGTCCCTATAATCTATGTATATAGAGGTGACTTATCATCCCTCCATACAAATCTAGCCAATTTAGAAACCTATATAAGATAAAGTTAGTTAGGCACTTACTTTATTCACATTTGCGTGGCGTCTTGTTGGTAAGTTAAGATTTAGTCAAACCGGAGATTGTTAGTTCCCACAAACAATTCCTCGTTCGGTGGGTTGGAGGCGATTTTTGCTACTTGGGAGTAAGGACTAGAAGGGTCTACACGAGTTGTCTTTGTTCTGCTTAAAAGAAGGGATAATGACACGTATAATTCATGATTGGCTCAATATGTAATGTGGTATCTGAACTTTTAATTTGTTTAATCTTGTTTATGAACTTTAACTCAATATACAATGTGATCTCTAAACTTTTAATTTGTTCAATATGTCACTAGACTTTTGATAGATGTTGAACTTAGTTCCTAAACTAGATAGAAATTTTTAGTATTGTCATTCCATTAATTCAAGTTGAGGGATAACATTGAACATTTTCACAAAGTTCGGGAACTAAACTGAACATGTACTAAAAGTCCAGGACCACATTGAACAAATTAAAAGTTTATGAATTACATTGCTCGTCAGTTATAGTTCAAAGACCATACCGAACAAATTAAAAGCTCAGTGAATTACATTAGACATTAAATAAAGTTTAGAAGCTATTTGTGTTATTTTCCTTAAAAGAATCTTTGAGAAAATTGGCACAAACAAGTAAAAAGAAAATTAATGAGATGGGGTGCTTGGTGGGTTTTAGAATGGATAGCAATTGTAATTTTTGTATCAAAGTTACGTAACTATGTCACACATTGACAAGTTCTAGTCCAAAAACTGAAATTTCCTATTATAAAGCTTTTAGGGTTGACGTAGTTGATTGGGATCATGGCTTTCTATACGGGTCAAGAGTTTGGATTTAATCGGTTTGTGAGGTTTTAGAATACTCGATAGGCCTTCAGGTTACCAAATCTCTGCGCCCGTGCCCCAAGTTTACAAAAGAAGAAGGAAATCCCTATTTTATGTTGCTGTGGACTCACAAATAAACAAGTGCATAGCGTTGTAACCCATTGATAAGGGCCACTTATTTCCCCACGAAATCGCAAGTCCGAGCATATCATTAGCAAACCTCTTATTAGCTTATGCCTTGGACATTTGCTATATTATGTTTTGTGACTTCTAGCACTTGTAGTGAGATTGTGACGACGGACTTGTCGATCCCTCGTGATAATGCCCAAAATCGGTTGTTGCGCCAATCGATACTCTCTGTCTATTCGCTAATGAAAAGAATGACAATTAAAAGGTTTGCATAGTAAACATCAAAACTAATTGTAAAAGAATTGAGTTAGCAAGAACTGACTCAAACAGTGGCAGATGAGTGTATTTTGAGTAGGGTCGATCGTTCGGTTCTGGTCCGGTCCGGTTCCAAGGTGGAACCGCGAACTGCATCGAGAGAATCGGTTCCCAATTTTGGAAATGCGGACCGAACCTAGTTGGTTCTAGGATCGAGAACCGGACCGGATCACGGCCCGGTCCGGTCCAATGGAACCGGTCACTTAGAGTTTAGTTTTTTTTTTTGGTTAAACACTTAAGGTTTGGTTCACATTTTACTAATTTTTGTCAATGAATTTATGTCAATGAAGTTCACTTACGGTTTAATTCACATTTTACTAATTTTTATCAACGAATTTACGATAATGAAATTCAGTTAGAGTTTAGTTCACATTTTGTTAATTTTTTTAAAGAAAAAAATAATAAAATATATATTAAATAGTCGGTCGGTCCGGTCCGGTTCCTCTTGGAACCGGAACCGGACTTTCAAACCGGTTCCACTTTTAGAACCGGGAACCGAAATAGTCCGAGAACGGACTCAAACAGTGGCAGATGAGCGTATTTTGAGGACATAGGAACTCCCATAACACAATTTTTCTAAATTCCGTAGACAAAGCATATAGTCTCGAGATTAGGACAGACGAATGTAGAAATTTCTGAACACAAAGATCCCCGACACATATTTTTCTAATTGAATTTCTCGACCCACGAATCTTTCAACCCTTGGCAGATAGGCATGTAACAATTGGAGGAGTCAATTTGACCTAATTCGCATGAAATAATGTCAGATCACGTGCAATCCTCTGACGTTTTCCTTTGGCACAGTAATCTTCACTTGTCCCGACGCCTAACCATGCAGCGGGCAGAATATTCGTTCTTTGCTTTTAGTCTAGAGTTTGTTCCCTTCGATCAACTGCCTCAATGTTGTCATCTGATTGATTTCGACCCGAAGTAAACATCGAATATCGAATCCAAGTAGCTGCACGAAAAGGTGCTAATGAGTTCTTTCTCTGTGATAGGAAAGGTTGTGGAGTATCGATTTGGTATCAAAGCCTAATTCTGCATGCATCCAGTTGCTACGAGACGAGTGTGGATCAAAAGACCTAAAGTTTTGAGATTCTAAAGCCTTGAGACCCTCGTGAAATTTCAGGAATTTGCACGGTAAGCATTTTCTTCCTCGAAAATTGGCTTCAATATTTATGAAATCCGGTATGTCGAGATATAACAAAATGGGGGTGGTAGAGTTAGAGATTCACACCTTGGCTACTATCGTGCTTAAGGATTCTTGAGATTCTCTAATTATCAACTTTTTTATTCCGATAATTCTAATCATTAAGAGGCTCGCACTATTTCCATCCCCCAAATAGTTTTAGACACGCCCTAAAATTTAAATAGTCCAAAATAACCCTCACTAGGAGCTCATTAATGGTAAGATTGATGGAAAGAGGAAGAACATACATTTAATACAGATCAATCGATCTAATGGCCAATAGGCATACGACCCTATTAGTAAATGATTTGGGGGATGGGGCCGGAGAGTACCTTGTCCTGGGTTTGATCCCCGTGAATACCGTACACACATGTACATAGTAGAGAAGAGTGAGACAAAAAAAAAATTGATCTAATGATTGCCATTGTCCTTTCCTAAACTATTGTGTCTTCTTTTGTTGTGTTCAAATCAAAGTTGTTTATAGGTTCATTACTTTTCTACGAGAATCATCTAAGATTCGGGTATTTTAATTAAATTGAGTGATCGGGATTCTAATTTAAAAGGATCTTACTAAAGTACATTTGTTTTTCAATGTCTCTCCAAAGTTTAATTTCTAATGACTCCGTGTAATTATAATAATTTAGTTCAAGTTTTTTTAGGGGAGATTTTTGGTTAAAATTGCAAACTCTTTATGATTATAATTCATACTTAAGGTATCTCAATTGACAAAGATTACCAACTAGGTTTAAACTCATTATAAAATTCTTTATAGAAATAAGCTTTAGCACCGATAGTGTATAGAAGAGGAGAAATGAAGTTTGTATAAAAACGATGGAAAACAACAATTATTGTTTTGATCGATACGGCCATTCTTGTATTTTCATGACAATGTGCAGGCTTTGCGTTTTCGATAAGGCTTGAGCTATTTCCACTCCTTTATTAGCTCTCGACACCCCCTTTCACATTGAATTGTCCACATTATCCCTTACCGGTCCCACTCTTGATTTAAGATTATTTCTGATATTTTTTTTCTTTTCTTTTTTGTTTCAATTTTTCTAGAGACGAAATTACCCACACTCATCTCAAACAACATGCAACTAAACCTCCAGTCATCCTAGGTTACGAAAAAACATATGATCGACGGTTTGTTTTGTCTTTATTTCGAAATCCCAATTTTCGATTTTTCCAATTTGGTCCGATTTTAGATTTCCTTTCCTTTGGTAGTACCTTTCCCCTTACTACCTCTTCGAAAGGACGAAATCAATGCCTTCCTGAGTTGAATTGGTGATCAAGATGAAAGTTGAGCATGAGGGAGATTATTTCTTTAGATTAAAGAATGAATGGTGCCTAATGTTGTCTACTTTTTTTCACCATCGGTTAGGATCTTTCCCAAACATCTACTTAGGCCTCTCTTTTGGAGCTAACGTTCGAGGATAAGTCCATTTGAGAGGTTATATTTGATAAATTTTCAGAACCGTTATGGAACTTATACGTTTACTGAAAGGGTGGACCCGGCACTTGTACGTTTTTATAGTGGAAATCGTTAAACGAGTCGTGTAAATTGCATAATGAAGTCCAAATTGAATTGGGCACAGTTGTTCCATTTCAATATTTAGACGTTCTTCAACGTGAAACCACCGGCTTAGTTACTCATGAGTTTTTTAGAAGTGATTTGTGACCAAAGATTGAGGAACAGTGAAAAATGAGAGGAGAGCCAATATATAAAGGTCGAATTTTTCTTTTTGGCCCGAATCACTAATCACATATATTTGGGCATTCGCCCTTGCGATTCCTCCGAACCGTTGAGTTGCCGTGTCTTGTTGTCATCAGTCCAAAATCTTAAATGCACTAATTTACCATTAGATTGAAGCATCGCCCTGTCCATTTGGCCAATGAGTCGCGGCCCAATCTTGCCGGGCTTTATTGCACGGTGCCAAGTACCATCGAATTGAATAGTGCAAAAAGTCACCGATCATTCCATGTCCGAGTAGTTAGATCCAAAATGCTATGCATGTCTTTGACATGGAAAAGAAAACAAATGAAATCGACAACTATTTTGGAGAGCAATAATATTTAGAAGTGATGTGTTAGTGAAGATTGAGGAACAGTGAAAGATGAGAGGGAGAGCCAATATATGAAGGTCGAATTTTTTTATTTTTGGCCCGAATCACTAATCACATATATATTTTTAAAGTTAGGGTGCCGCAACGGTGGCCATGATCGGCTGGATAAGGTCATCGGATCAGTGACCCCCATGGTCACTCTAAATTCCTTAAAGGTTGCGCCAATGTGGCACCATTGGGTTCAGGCATGACCCGGTCCGATAGGGCCCATGATCCCGACACGGGCCCAATCGTGTCGGGCTTTGTCGTGCTTGGGCCATCACAGCCCGATCCCCCAAACCTAATCATCTCATTCGAGTCAATAAATTTTAGCCATAAAAAAAAAAAAAATTAAATATTAAAATAATTGTCATGCTCCTCTCTTCTAAAAGCACATTCGTTTGTTAGTCAAATTGGCGATTAACTTTAAGTTTTGCACCTTTGTAGTTTTGGATTAAACTTAAGATCCGATACTCCATTTTCCCAAGAATCCAACCTAAAACCCAAAGGCTCAAGCGTTTGGTCGTCTAGATTTCTAGTCGGGATAGGATTAGATAGATAGGATTTGAAATCCAAGGGATTTGTTGAATTCTATCTACTATTTGGTAAATCACGGAAATAAAGCCTGGGATATTTTCACATCTTACCATGTTCATTATTTGCTATGAACGTCATATTAATATAAATGAACTCAAGAATTGCACAAACGGAGATTATAAAAATCTCTCTCACGACACTCTTACCTATTTCATTTTTATTTGCTTATTTTTTAATTATTTTTGCCTCTCTTTTTAATTATTTTGTTTTTTATTTCTTTTTTCCCCTTCCATCATTCTCTAATAAAATTTTATTAAATAGTAAGCTATACTAATATACCTAAAATATATAATAAATATAAATACATTAGTATTGATTTATATATGAAATTTATATCACAAGATATAAATAAATTTTGAATATATAAATAAAAATAAGAATAAATAAAAAAACGAAATTATTGTTATTTTTTTGTTATTTTGAATTTTTATATTAAAATTCATATATTATTTTAATTTTATCAATTTAACAAGTTTTTTATTCGAAAAAATTAACTTTTATATTATGAATATTAGAAATTTATCCACTTTTATCCTACTTAATGAGATAATTTTATCCTAGTTATATCCTTCCTATATCCGACTTTATCCTATCTGGACCAATAGGCGCAACCCGGAAAAAGGGATCCGACCAAAGCCCAAAGAGAGTACCAACAGGGAGATGCATCGGCTCTTGATCGTGGGACCCATGAGATCCAACGGCTGGGAAGTGGCCGCAAGCGTGCGCGTGGCTCCACACGATGGTTGCTCACCCACCGCGACAGATTATCGCGTCGTATCATATTATCAGGACTTGGTTGGTTTCCATTGCAACGGCCGCTGCGTCGTGGTGGTGGTGGTGCTCGTCGCCGTCGTCTGCCGCCACCGTACGGACAATGGCCTCGCTCTCTGTCGCCGGCCGCGCGCCGCCGTGCCCGCGCTTCAGTCCTTCTTCACCTCTCCGTCAGGTACTTCCCCCTTCTCCTTCTCCTTCTTCATCGTCGTCTCCTCCTATGTTGGTCCTGCGATTCGGGTGCTTGTCGATGGAGGAAACGAGGCGGACCAGTAGGAGATTCTAATCGCTTCGAGTTGGAGGGTTAGGGTTTTCGATGCACGATGCGATCGACCTGGTTTTAGAATGGTAGCTTGTGACTTCGGTTCTCGATCGAACCGTGCAATGAGAAGCTACTCGTTAACTGGAAGGACTCTTTTGGCTTTGTTTGTGTTCTGGTCAATATGCTTTGATGTCTTACCGGGGCTTCAGTCTCTGTCGCAGAGTCTGCTGCCGCTTAAAAGTGCCCGCGGCTGGTGTTTGGGTATGGGGAAGCTTAGGCCGTGCTCCAGAAGGAGGTATGAATCTGTCCATTTCGCGGGTTTCTGGTGTTCGTGTTTTTTGCTGTTTCGGAAATGCTGCAGCGTGACAATGGCCGAGCTTGGATATGCGATGCGGGGCTCCTTTTCTGGGTTTCATCGGCTCGATGAGTTGTGGTTTATAATTTCACTGCCTCTCTCTCTCTCTCTCTCTCTGGTTTGCACAATTCTGTAAGATTTTAGGAACCTACAGTTAGTAAAGATTTCTGATTTGCTCATTTATTTTTCTCTAAAAGAGCCATTTTCGAAATTTTGAAAGACAAATAAAAAGTACGTGGCATTTACTTGGACAACTAATGTAGTCTAATGCGCATGTTCCGCTATGTAGTTGAGAAGCTCTTGGAGCTCCCCTGTTTCTCATGTTTGTTGGCCATCTGACCTATCTTCTTTATTATCAAATTCAATGTGAGGCTTCTGAGCCTGAGCGACATGGGATTGAATTATATAATCAAGCCCTTTTCTGTGATTATATATAAATCCTCCCAAAGTTCTGGTTGTTTTAACAGAATTATGCCAAATATGTATTGATGATAATTGGATGATTTGGTTTCTTTGACCTTAATTATCTTTCTGTCCAACTCGAACTCATAGTTCTGATTAGCTGTTAGGATTTTCCTTTAAGGTATTGCTTATATAATATGTAATACTATGCTACCATCTTTCTTTGAGAATTTATTTTTGGCCAAATGTCTTTTAGAGCTTTCGTAATGCATATTCCCAATTCATTTTTTTCTTCTTTAGGCCGTATGTGTTCAAATGCTGTGGGATTCTATGCACTGTGCAGTTTCTAATTAATTACTTTTGCCTGAGAGGAATAATAATGGAGTGGCACATTTGGATCTAATAATACAGGAGAACTTTGATATGTGCAGTCAGTCAAGATGCGGAAGAAGCTTTCAAAAAGACGGTAGAAATTGACAGGTTGATTGACCTGCTGAGGCATGCAAATCCACAGGAGGTGAGTGGATGATGCTTTGCTTTTCTCCCCTAATGAGTAATTGGATAAAACCTTATCATTTAGCTCAGATGGCATTGTATTTACATTGCTTGGTGCTGACTTTTAACATGCTGTCGTGCTATGGATCTTTGCATTTTGCATCAGTTGGCAATTAAAATATATTTATCTCTGACCTTCCTTTGAATGACACTTATACTATTAGTCCGCTGGTCCCCCTATGTGACTTAATTTTGATCAATAACTTAAAATTTGTATATTTTTTCCTCCTGATTTTGCATTTTTAATCTTTGTGCAGCTTCAGAAAATTGTTGCGGAGAACATCCTGGCCTTTAATGAGGGCTTCTGGATCAGACTTGCTGCTAGAAACGATACCTGCAAGTCAGAAGATGATAAAGCATGGTCCTTGTACTTGTTTGATTCTGCTGTGTTAATCTTTTCCTTTGCCAAATCTGTCCTTAGTACTTGTTGAGAAATGGTTTGACATCATTTTATGTATATGCAGAAAGATTACGAGGAATTGGCGTTATCTGTGATGACCATAGTGGACCGCCTGGTGCATAAAACTAATGTATCTTTCTTCCTCCTTCATGCACAAGCACGTTTGAGCAGTTCAACTTTAACACTCTGGCTTACACGTCAAGGGTTTTTTTCTTCTTCTTCTTTTTTTTTTTGTAATTGTACCTTATCTTTTATGCTTCCTTCTGCAGGAAAAGATAGAATCTTCGACTGATGTTCTCAAGGCAATTTTAAAGCCTGCTGTTGATGAAAAGGAAGAGATTCGCTGGCCTCCTAGAGACCCTGAGGCTCTTAAAGCAATGGAGGAAGTATGTGCTTTTAATATTTTCCGATTTGGTTCTTTTCTGTGGCAGTTTAGTGTACTTGGGTGATCTATACTATATTTATAACTCAATTTTTCACGCATACTACAACAGCTGAGCCTTATCCAACTGAGTGGAGTCGGCTCATTGTTCTACTCACAATGAGGACAAATTTGATTTTGTCTATTGTTCACCAGCCAGCCGTGTGATTTATTTAGGGTTTGTCTGGGGCTTCTACTTTTAAATTTTGATTAACTTTGCGGAACTCACACTTTACCTTTAATTAAACTTGAAATACTGAAAATTTTCAAAAATTTCAAATATTGATATGTGGAATAACAAAAATTACTGATTTTTCAAAATGTGAATAGTATTTTTATTTTCAAATTTTGGAGGAGAATTCACAGGTAAAGGGTAGAATTATCTGAAAATAGCCACCAAAAAAGGCCTTTACTTTTCCTTCCCATTGTTTCATCAATCTCTTGACCCTAGAGTAGAATGCTGATTGGGTCATACATAGATAAAAAATAATGTGAGAGTTAGAAAATTGAAAACCTGTCATGCTTTGTTGCTTCTCCGCACATGAAGATATTTTATTCTTCTGAAGTTAAATTATTTGACCGGAGCTTCATTGGATTTATAGTTCGGGGATCATGCCACTCTATATTTCATCATTGCACTCGGAAGACATTTAGTTTTTTATGTTGTGATCCTATGTATTGAGCAGAGTAGATTTTTCCTAGGAAGTAATGCAAATGGAGCAAGAAGGTCAACTAGATGAAGGATTCCTTTCTGAAGTTAATGCACAGTTAAGACAAGTAAGTCTCTTTGCTACTTCTATAAACTTCTGCCCGAAGATCTTTTGGTTATAACGGTTCTTCCTGATTATGATCTCTTTCTTTTCGGTTTACTCAACTAATTGCTAGTTCTTCTCCTGATCATCATCCGTCTTATGTGGTTGACATTGATTTATTTATTTTCTGAAAGGCAACTCAACTCAAATGCGAGGTCGAGTAAGAAAATATGCTTGTATAAATTATCTAGGATTGACGTTTAATTTTCATTATTTTATTGTTTATGCTGATAAAATTTCTTAAAGAGCTGGGTGATTTTTTAATTACGATAAAGAATCTTATTTGATAACACCAGCTCTGTCTGTTTCCTTTTCAAGAAAAACTGCATTGTGAATGCCAATGTCTGTTCTACGAGTTTCTTGCATATTACTTGGTTTTTAAATCTAGACCATGTGCAGGCAAAAGAAGATGGGGACAAGCCCGGGCTTGTGGCTATGCTACAGAAAGTCTTGCAACTTTATGCTTCTACAGTTCTCTCCAAGCGCAGTTATGCCAAGAGAGGTGAATAACAGTGAGCGAGTTGATAATTCTCCTATGAACCTTAAAGGAAATAATGGTTTGTTGGCGCTCAATTATTGGGTTTATTTTCTCAGTTGATTCCTTATGGTCTCAAGCTCTTGAATTTGATTAGTTGGGAGACTGGGAAGTTTGGATATAGAACATTTATTTCTTTTTCTGGTTTCCTATGCCCCTTCAGAATCTTTTCATTTTTCCGTGACGTACCTGTAATGAGGCCAATTATGAAGCTGACCTTGTGATATGCACGTATTGCAGGAAATGAAGTGTTGAAGGCTGAAGAGTTCCTGGAGGTCCTTATAAAAGGTGGTTTTCTCATGAATTTACTTATGCACAAGTGCTTTCATACTGTAAATTGTCAACTTGACTGTATTGTGTTTATCTGTGGCTGCATTAGAAGATATGTTTAAAGTCATGCACAGTGAGATCAATTGTAGACACAGAAAAGGTCAGCCTATATGTGAAGACTAGTTTTTGGGGGGCCAATTTCTGTATCTGACTTTTGGCTTTTATGTTTTAAAAATTCTGTGAAAAGTCAATTTGTAGAATCCAATGCGCAGAAGCTAGAACCAGACCCAGATTTATGCTTTTTGGGCTTTTAAGGGAAATAGAAATGGCCGAAATTTCGTTTGCGGTGTAAAATCAAAGTTCAATTCTCATTTGTATCTACACGTTTATTGTTCTTTCAGTGCAAATCATGAGAAAAAATTATTAGCATGATTGTTGGATGACAAATTGTCGGTATTGGATATTATGAAGTCCTGGCTTAAGTCACGGCTAAAGCACGAAAGTTGTGGCCAGAAACAGAGCCACCTCATACAGGTTGCAAGCCTGGTTTGAGTTTGGGGATCCTTCTTCCTTCATCTCTTTTGGCAAGAAAAAGAGGTTGTGCCAGGTCTGGGTTACGTCATAAGCTAGCTAACTAATTCTTCAAGTTGTGTACCTTACAGAATGTTATGCAACTCCATGTAAAGCAGGTCAGTCTTATTAAAAGGTTCGGTTTGAAGATGATTAGGTTGTCTTTATATCCGGTAAAAATATGTATTAAATGCAGTAACAGCTTCATTATCTGAAGTGCATGTGATTTTCTTACTTTTTCCAAGGGCAGACTCTGTCTTTAGTGGGCCAAGCTTGATTGATTAATGAAGTGAAGTCATACTTTAAAGGCCAAGTGACATCTTATGTAAGTCGACTGTTAAGTCCTAATTTGGTTCTAGACTATTCAAAACTGTGGTTGGATGGTGATGAATTTTTTGCCTATTGGCTTGTGAGAATTTCATAGCTGGCTCTGGTAAACGCAGCTCTGAATTTAGAGAAATCTTGTGAAGTACACTGTTGTAGTATTACTGGCTGGTTCAATACATGTTTTGGCTCAATGAGCAAATAATGCTTTTCTGTCCATTCTTTTTTCGGTGCCTCAATAATGGAACTGCTCATGGCAACAGCTCCAGAGGAAGAATGGAATAAGCTATTGCTTGATGGCATGACAGTCGGAAAAGGCGATGTTTCACCAGAAGATTTATATGCAGTCATAAAGAAGCGGATAGAGCGGACTTTGATCCGAACAGTAAGTCCCTTTCTTGACTTTGCATGCCACCTTTTGATGAGTCTTATTTTCTTTTCACTTCTCTAGCTCTTTGATATCTCTGACAGTCCATTTTCCTCTCTTATCAGGAAGGAGGTTCTTACCAGCAGAGGGTCCTCACGGAGTATCTAAAAGGCATCCAATCGAGAGCAGAGGAGATCATACAAGTATTACAAGGAAAGCCCGAATAGTGTATGTTCAGCGTTGATAGATTTCTTGGGCAATGCATCATCCCCGCATGGCATGAGGAAAAGCTAGCGTTTGGTTACACACAAAGAACAGAGAAGACAACAATTTTAGAGAGCTTTAGATTTTTTGACTTGATTCCATTCGACATTCCATCCGCACTCGAAAATCTGTATGGAGCAGCCCGATTCATTTCGGCCAAGAAAGATGTGCATTGTAGTTGTTTTTTTTTTTTAGTTGTTCTTAACTTCATTATCCAAGTATCGTCGAACCTGTAAAATATATGGTGCAGTTTCATGGAAAGCTTCACCACCTTCAATGAGGCAGAGACATCACGTACTGCATGAAAGAATTGTTTCAGGTGCTACGTATGTTCTCAAATAGAAGATTTGTTTCATGCAGGTCTTATGAGCCGAGTAGAGAGGGAGTGAATATGGACATTGCTCACAAGAAACATGGTTCCAATAGTTGTCCGACCCGGCCCATATTACTAAAATACTTTCATATTTAACCAAATTTAGGAAAGCTCATATCCAAACCGAGACGAGAGCACGAGATCGAGTAAGGATTAAAGAGAGTCATAGGCTTGGATTGGGTTTAAGTAAGTTGTGAACACATTTAGTATCCTAGTCCAAACGGCTCTTCTAGATATGCTCATGTGGGTCATACATCCTTCAATGACGACAGGCAACATTTAGACGGAGACAACATAAACACGTGCTTGACTACGATCCTTCGGATCGGGATCGTCTGTTCAGCTGCATCACCAGGTGAACGGATGGACATCGGTGATGTTGTCACTGAACTGCATAAGGCCAAACTTTTCCTCCTTGGATAGGAGGTAGTACCTAGTAACAGAGTTAGTGACAGAGAAAGCATGGTAGCCTAGGAGATCCCTTCTTTGTTGCAACGTATCTAGAGGCTGAGGGAAAGGATGGGGATAGATGTGATTACAGAGGGATCGGTGTAAAATTTTCGCAGGCTTGTGTGTCAATTTGGAATGATATCAATGAAGTGCAAAACATTAGGAATTTTTCGATGGTCGGGGTATCGATCACGGCTCATGTAACTTGATCTTTATCCCCCAAAACAAAGAAATAATAATAAATAGATAAAACGAATGAATTAAATCCGGAAACTGTCCCATTGCATATGTACAATTTCGAACTCTCAGACCAGGAATTGAGCTGCAATTGTAAGTGGCATGATCGGTGATGACTTGAAGCTTTTGGAATCGCAGATAGCACAATGCTACCGAATGACTTTGTTTACCTCGTAGCTTCATAGCGAATGCAGTGACAATACTTATGTAGAAAAGAAAAGTTTTTATAGTCAACAACAAAAGATTGAGAAACGATTGCTGTTGGACTTTGTTTAAATATTGTCATCTTGTTGGTTTCAGGTCTGTGAGCATGGGCTCAGTGGGTTGAAAAAGAAGAAGAAAGAAAACACCATTTCAGCTCTTCCAATGGAGCTGGTTTCCCTGACAGAGAAGAAAGCTAACAAAGTAGCCTCAAAAATCACGCACAACATAGCATTCCTCCAATTGTCCAGTCGCATAGTTTCTTTGCGAAAAGGTTACGAGAGTACAAAGAAGCCAGTGTTCATATGGCCAAGCATCATAAGATCATGTGCATGTATTCATCTATACCTTTCTATAGTGATGTCTGGCGAAGCGAGAAAGGAAACATGGTGTCCATAAAATTTATAGAAAAATATGTTAAAGAGAAAAAAATCCACAGATACCAAGTTAATTCCATAGAAACCAGACAAGAGAACATAAATCCAAACAAATTACAGTTAGCAGCTGTAAACCAGGCAGTTTCAGAGTTGCATGAAAATTACATCATAGAGGATGAATGCTAAAGGTTCTGTTTTGGTAATGCCCAACAGAAATGAAGAATCGAAACAACAATATAGCAACTGCGGTATTTCTATTTGTTATCCTCTGTATTGTGAACTTGTGTTTTGAAGTTCAAAACGTTGGCAGGAGAACTCCAAATGTATTTCCATCATGCGAATCGCGCAAAAAGGAAAGAATGGTCATCAATTCTGGAATATAGTCTTACAACTTGTGGATTGCTTTTACAACTCCGAACAAACTTGTCAGTTGAACCTGTTCAGCCTGTCAAATTCAATGCAACAAAGGAAAAGAAGTGCACAACCAAAATCAAAAGGCCAGTCTTACAATATAAAGAATCGTGACTTATCAAACATACGAAGCATAAAGATGCATAATTAGGAGTCATAGAAATTTACCAAAGAAATGCTGATATGTAATGCAACAAATACAAAATTAGGATAATAGAACACCACCTTTTAACAATGATAGGTCACAATATCCACAAAACTATCTATATAGACCAAAAAAACCTACAAAAGTTGAATATCAACTAGCATACAGAAGGATACAAATACAATAACCCTAAGCGCTTGCATCTCAATAATGAAAATCGAACATGAAATGCATTAACAGAAAAAACCTTAATTATTGCCCTCCAATGAACAAACACATCTTTCATTTCATTTGGCTTGCAACCTAACTTGCACATGCATTAGCCTCTCTTCTAGCTAAAATCCTTTCTACTGATGATCAAAAAGCTCTTCAAGAAAAACATCCTGTAATATCTACGCAGTTGTCCAGTTCCCCTCATTTCTTCTCCACTTGATACATCTCCACAATCACTTTGCCAATTTGCTTTTATAGCTTAGATCTATTTCACTTCTAATGACCAGTGTTGCTGCTATTCTTTTAGCTTAGATCAATCAGTTCTGATCTCAAGTCACCATACCAATGCCAGCATTCACATTCCTGCTGGTGCTTACACTTCATCTCGGCACTCCATTGCACATCCTTCTTCCTATTCTCCTCTTTTTTGTTATAAGGAAGCAACACTGTCTGCACAAATTTTCAAAGCAGGTAGGGAAACTCCAGCTGCCAGCCCTCTTAACAATTCAGGGAATGCAATAAAGTGCATCTATGAATCCACATTGATTCCCCACCTCCGACAGCATGACCAATGCAAACACTTGACAAGAAACTTTACAACATGTGTAGTCTGATTAAGACTCTAAAGATCCCCCGATAAAACAGCTTGATTTTGTGCTTTCCAAATCAAGTACACACGCATTCTAGACCAAAATCCAGCTACAAATCTTAAAAAATCTTAAAAAATCTCAATTACTAATTAAAAAAAAAAACAAACAGAGGAGTTACATTCAGTAGCAGACAAACACAATGGAATGGTTCCGAAAAGAGATGAGAGATTTCAGGAACAACGACCAAATTTGCCAAGCTCAACTTTCCACCTCTCTTTTACAATGTAGAGGAGAATGAACTAATTTTAATAGCAAGTGCAGTCGCCGATTCATTAAAATTCGGGGATGTTGGAAATGAAAGCATGACCCTTTCAAGTTTTAAGAGTCTGAAATTTATAAGACTTTAATCCACAAGAACGGTGAGTTCTCACAGGTAATTCTTTGATTAGGATTAATGTCGGTCCCAACGAATAACGACCCCGATAACATACCAATCACATCTTCATTACTTTCCATATTACGATAACAACGAGACATAGAATAAGTGGAGAGTAGTTATGAATGCAAAGACAAACTCAGGTAGAAACTTATAATGGGTCAGACTTACGATCATCCAGCCAGACTAAAAAGTACGATATATAAAATCATCGCTCGACTAATCAAGCCTCATCTCACACGTGATTAGAAAACACAACCGTCAGCTCAGCCGCCATCACGAATAAGCTTTGTATACGTCACGGCATTAGTCATGCTAGACTGAAGTTTATACTCAAAGTTAGCTCTTTTTGAACATATGCTATTTAATACTACTCTAATTGCTGAGTAAAGCATCACATCTTTCACACACCCCATAAGATTATCCATATGCCTATGCCATCGCCTTCCAGTTCTACCATGGGGAAGCATTCTAAGCAGGACTGAGAAACGTTTAAAGGCTCTCAAGTCCCCAATCGGGTCCGGGTCAGAGTAGCAGGTCATATTGTTGAAGTCACAGATTTCATATCAGAACGGTATGTGAATAGAGGTCAGAAACTTTGGCATGGGACTCGGAGTATTCCAACAACTGAATAACCCAAGAATCCACACAGGCAAATCAACAAACAACACATCAACGACCAAGCAACTACACCGACGGCAGAAAGAAAGGCATGAACTATAAAAACAAAACAAAACAGAGGAGATACATTCGGTAGTCGACAAAAGGACACGGGTGAATAAACGAAAACGACAAATCGGACAAGTCTAAGTCAAAAAGATTGTATATTTACGTGCGAATAGGGTATAGTCCAGTTACACGAACCTCAAGGTCACGTTCCCGACGACAATGGGAATGCTAGAATCCTCTGTTCTCTCTTCGTCTTCCTCGTCGTACCAACCCTCCGCATTCACCCTCTCGAGGTAACTCCCGTAAATGCGCTCGGGCATGTACCCATTGTTCTCACCGGTCATGACATGCCCGTGCCACTCCCACGTCCGACAGTCCGGGTCGACCCCGTCATGGACGGAGACGCAGATGTAGTGCTCCCCGATGTTGATGCCCTTGCCGGAGTTCGGCTTCAGCGAGTCGGCCCTGCCGGAGCAGATGGCCCTGATGACCTCCATCTCGATCCTGCGCTCCTGGGCCGCGACCCAGGCTCTGATGCTGTCCCCCCTCTTGCCGCGACGGGCATCCGCCACGGATGATGATGGGTTCGTGAGGGAGCCTCCTCCGGGGGAGGATTGGCTGGTGAAAGGGTGATGGGTATCTGATGCTGCTGGTGGGTTGTTCAGGGTCTGGGCTTGAGGAAGAGGAGGAGGAGGAGGAGGAGGGGGTGGGGGGGCGAGGGTGGCCAGGTTGCGTGCGGAGGAGCTGGAGGGAGTCGTCTTGGCCATGGTCATGAGAAGTGTCAGCCGATCAAGAAGTCTTAACGTCGTACCTGGTTCTGTTCTGCGCTTTTCAGGTTGACGCAGAACAACTTCAGCTTTGCTTTGGCTTTTATAGCGCGAAAAGGAAGAATCGCCGCACGAACACGAAACTGACTTAGGAGGACAACGTTTGTCTTTTTTCAATCGGACAACACGGTTCTGAAATTCCGTTTGTTTCCTGAAAAATAAATAAATTTTTTTTAAACGAAAGTATTTTTATTTTCAACAAAAATGTTCAAACATTCATTATTATCGATAATGAAAATATTTACATTGACCAAGCAATATAAGCAGTCATTTTTAGAAAAATGCTGTTCAAATCATTCAGTTTTCAGGACTTTATTTTTCGATGTTTGACTAAAACCTAAAAAGGATCTGGAAAGTATTTTCATGTCGTTTGGTGAGGAAAATTTAATAGAGAAAATTATCAAAAAATTCATATTTTTTAAAATTTTTAATTTTTTTGTTTTTTCCTGTTGGTTCTTCCGAGCTCAAGCCTCACCCAAGGCCAGCGAGCTTGAGGCTCGCTGCCAGAGGCCAGGCCAGATTTAAAAAAAAAATTAAAAAAAAATTAAAAAAATTCAAACTTTTTAAAAATATATTTTTGTAAAAACAAATGTTTCATTAACCAAGGAGACGAGCCCGAGCACCGAGGACCCGTGAACGGCCTTTGTCGACCTGAGTCTGAGTGTCGAGACTAGAGCTCGAGCATCGGGGAATTGAGTACGACCTTTATGGACCAGAGTTCGAGTGCTGGAGCATTGAGTAAGGGCACCAGGGGTTTGGGCCCGACCTCAATGGACCTGGGCGTGGACACTAGGTGTGACATCCCAATTTTTCATAATCATATTTATGTGGCATTAAGAATTTTCTATGTCCAATAATAATATTTAGGCTATAAATTTAAGTATTATCTAGCTTAAAAATTGGGTGAACACGTAGAAATCTTAGTTGGATCGTAAATCTTGTTAGACGTGGAGGATGATTTCCCGCAAACGTAATTGTCCCGAATTCAACGTGTTGAAATTCAATTGATAAACGTTGACGTATACGATGATGATTAGAATGATGTTAATTAATTTATCGTCATCTTAGTCATCGATGGGGACGGATATTTTCAAAATTATATGATTATCAAGTTTGAATTTACTAAACCGAGATTTTCTTAGCATTCAATATGATTTATCAATAATTTTGGTAAAATCAAGTGTCATGGGTTACATTATTTATTTTTAATCCTAGTTAACTAATAATAATCACAATTTATTTACATTAATGGAGACCCACTTATTTGGCCATGGGAGAACTTCTCACAATATTATCTTTTAATCATTCTTAGTAAGCCACTTGTTTTCCTTAGATAGCATGAGAGCCACTTGTTTTATCTTTGCATGTCAAGACTCCAAGATTCTTTTAATCTTGACACATAATGCTCAACATGTAGTCATGGCCACGATGGCGGTTCCGGTTCATACATGGCCACGAACCGGAATCGCCTGGTCCGGGGGGTTCCGGTTCCTGGCCCCAGGCCGGTTGGCAACAACGAGCCGCAGCAGGGCTGCGACGTGCGAGCCCCGTTGCGGGTTTTCTTTTTTTTTTTTTTTTTTTTTTTTAAATTTATTTATTTAAATTTTTAATTTTTTGGAACCGGAGACTCTTTTAATCTTGACACATAATGCTCAACATGCCCTCCTAATGATACATGCAAAGCCATGTGTCTCTTCAAAAGTGAGACATCATGCTAACTTGACACTTAAGGACTTAGTGTCATCACCATAAAGCATCAGCCATCAAACTCTTCTCCACTTGGCCATATAACCTTGCCAAATGTAAGTGGGAATGGAAGACCAACTTACATCTAGACATATTACTCCAAGTGGATCTTCTCGTAACCTTGGTAATTCAAACTCAAATTTTACCCTGGCTGTGTCACTCTATTTTCAATCTTCATAAGCAAATTTCTTCTACTTTTGATCTTGGAGTTTATCTTTCGCGAAACAGAAGGGGGTTAAGGCATTTGATTGTTTGAGTTTGGTTCAGAGGTAAGTGAAAACTCTAAACTTTAAGTTAGTTCAATCTACTTATCACTTTTAACTTCATTGGTTGAGATATGGTGATTGTTGGATTCGTTTGTTGGTATCGTACATGTCCAAACGATTTGTGATTGGTTTTCTTAAAGTGTATTATAATTGACAAGTGAAAATGATAAATCTGAACTTGGAAGTGTCATTCTTAAAATTTCATACTCGACTAATGTAGATAATTTCCACTTTCTACTCTCTAGCCATATTTACTTTCTGAGCCTGGGTATATTTACCTTTTGAGTCTAGGTATATTTACTTATGAACCTGAATATATTTAGTTATGAACTTAAGAATATTTACTTTCTAAACCCAAATATATTTACTTTCTTAATCTGAATATATTTATTTTTGAACTTAAGAACATTTATTTTATTTACTTTCTGAACCCAAATATATTTACTTTCTTAATCTGAATATATTTACTTTTGAACTTAAGTAGATTTACTTTTTGAACCCTTTGAACTTGAATATATTTACTTCCGAACCTGAGTAAATTTATTTTCCAAACCCAAATATATTTATTTTTTGAATTTGAATATATTTACTTTTGAGCCTGAGTAGATTTACTTCGTGAACCCAAAAATATTTACTTTCTGAACCTAAATATATTTACTTTTCAAATATGTATATATTTATTTCTCAACCTGAGTAGATTTACTTTCTGTACCCAATAATATTTACTTTCTGAATCTGAATAAATTTACTTTTAAACCCGAGTAGAATTACTTTCTGAACCCGAATATATTTATTTTCTGAATATGAAAGTATTCACTTGTCTTCTGAATATACTCATTTATTTGTCCAGACTCAGAACATACCCATTGTCTGTTCAGAGTCAAAATATACTTGGTTATTTGTTCAGATTCAAAAATACTCATTATTTGTCCAGACACAGAGTATACCCATTATTTGTTCAGACTCAAAATGTATTCATTTATTTGTCTAGACTCAGAATATATCCATTGTTTGTTTAGACTTTGTGTATACCTATTTGTTTGTTCATATTCATGTTCAGTCTTAATCCCTGAATATAGTTATTGATTTGCTCAGAATCACTTTTGAAATATATCCTGCTTTTGAATGTATTCAACTAATGAATTTGATCACATATTGCTTCTTACTGGTTTGTTTAACTAATATCTCATTTCTTGAGGAGCAAGAAGCTGGGTCTGCATATTGAAATGCGTGTAAATACTTGTTGTCATGATTTGCACTAGAATAATATAATTCCATCATCCATAAATAAAAAGGTGGCGATGTTATGCCTTGCTGTGTGATCGGGATGCTTCGTGGAATGTTACGAGATGTCTTAAAGTTAAGATGCCCCATAGGTTGGGATGCTCCGAAAGTTTCGAGATGCCCTACTGTGTGATCGTGATGTTGTGCGATTTTTTACGGGATACCTCGGAATTGAGATGCCCTATAGGTTGGGATGCTCCGGATGGGGTACCGGGAGTTTTGAGATACCCTATTGTGTGATATGGATGCTCTGTGAGTCGGGATGCCCCGGGAATTTTCGGGAGAAGAAGTAATAATATATGTAATGCATGTATCTATACATTATTGAAATTGTGGTTAAACATGCATCATGGTATAATAAGTCATTTGCTTGCATTTGAATTAATGACCTTACGGAATGTCGCTACAATTTTCCATGGGCATATCATGAACGTATAGATAAATCAATTGCGTATACATGTGTTGTGAATGGTTATTGGCTTGAACTCCCGTTATTTGTTGATACCAGGTGAAGTAATAAAATGATATTTTAACTTAAAAGATTTCATTACTAGGCCTCGGCTTACTCCTTTATTTTTCAGTTTGTAGGATGATTTCCCTAGACAAAATAATAAATGGGACATGATTATTTTTTAGGCCATCAACCCCCGAATTGGATGATGGTTCGCTTATGGATTAATATGGGAATAGCGGCGTTAGTTGACCTGACCTTCGTCCCAGGATTTTTGTATTTAATATTTTGCTTGATTGAAGTGTTGTCGCGACCTCTTCGAAGTGCAGCCTAAGGCCATCTCAAATTTGTAAAACTAATATTTAATATAAATAAAGATAATATCCATGTTTAACTCGTGCAATTTCTTGTACGGGATTTTATTAGAAAATTTTTATTGAGCTTCCGCATGCCATTACTGAATGAATGAAGGACATGTATTGAACGTGACGTTCTAGGGCACCACATCGTGGGCTCGGGCATAGGTTAGTGGGACACTAAGGTCCCAGGCCCTGCCTCGATGGACCCAGGCCCAGCCACTGGATACTTGGTCCTAGTAAATGCCAGGACTCGGGAGCCAATGTTAGGGTTTCCGTGCCCAAGTATAGAGTTTCAAGTCCAAGTGTCGATACCTAATCATATTTCGGAAAACGTTTTTTGGTTCTTTTAAAGAGGAAATCATTTTCTTGAATTCAAGCTTTGGTAGGAAAACATTTTCCGTTGACTCATTTTTCTAAGCAAACCAAATGCTAGAAAATGAGGAAAATTTTTTCACGAAAAATGTTTTTTGCGAAACAAACAGACCCTAAGTGATTTCATATCCGTGTTAGACCAAATTTTGAACCTGATTTTCGAGATGCCAAATTTCAGATGTAAAATTCCTTTTAGTGTCGTTCTCGTTCTACTAATTTACTTACTAAAGTTCAAGGAGCTTGGAAGCGACATGAAATCAAGTTTGGGAAGTTGTACATGGCCTGCTCGGAAGATGGAAAGACTTTGCATTTCAAGTACAAGAAGGTTTCGAGCAAAAAAAGAAGTACAAGAAGGGCTCCAATCATAACAAAAGCTATTTACACCAACAAATATCCTAACTCTTTTAAATGGACAAACAGTGGGTTTAGTCGATTAATGTAAGTTTGGTTGATTGTGATTAGCATAGTTATAGATAATTCTACGATTTAGTTATTGACCAGTATATCGA